GGAGAGAAGCAGCAGCAGCAGCAGTGGCGAAAAAAGGCATAGGTCATGGCGTGAAGACGAGAAAGATTTTGACTATTCAAGAATTTCTACCCATGATTATTCATTGGTTGTTTTATTTGGGTGTTGATTCGTCTCAAACAACACATCCAAAGAGTCGTTTTCTTCGTTGAGTTTCTCACCCATTTTTCCTCGGGCCGCCCCTTGTCTCCGGGCGCACACAAGTCGTGGGTGAGAGACAGGGATGGAGGGAGAGAAGAGGACCAAAAGTTCATGGGACATTTGTGTTGGATCGATAGAAAATGTCTGGGAGCGCGAGAATGATGTCTTTGTGTGTTCTCCTCCGTCAACACTGCCATCATCGTATCATCGTGCCGTCATTCATTCCATTGTCCTCCCTTTTTCACCCTCAAAACACCCTCGATGCGATATCAGAAATCCGCTGATTCTCAATCTGTGACTCTCTATGAACACCTTTTTCAGTATTAATAATTGAATGTTTCTTATAACATGTTTTCTTCTGGACATTGCGATAATGTGTTTCTGTCTTAAGTTTGAGTTTTGATCCTTTTAACATGCTAACGGATCAAGATTTTACGAAAAGGAATTTTCAGTGGGTTTTTGAGAATGAAGCAACTCTGATTTACAAAACTTTAATTTTTAACACGCATTGGGAAAAGTAATTGTGAGTCGAAAAGACACATTGAAACACGGTTTGGCAAACGCTTTTATGTTGATAGTGCACAAAAATGTAATTCTCTTTCGACTGAGGCAAAAATTGGAGGGTTGCTCATTAATCGGGCGAGCAGCAGGGGTTTGTCAATAGAGTGGTGTATCAACTCTCAATGATTCTTCATCTTCCACCCCGCTGTGGATTGAGTGGTTTTGGGCCTGAAAGTGGGCTGAAAATAATGACTAATTAAGGGGCTCTGGAGTGTCGCAAGAGGCCTAAATGCGTGGAAGGGGTTGGGAAAGGTGTGTGTGAGCATGTGAAAATAATTAAATTAAATTTCAAGCAACACCTCCCTAATAGTCTCAGAATGTGCCACTCTGCGGGAGGCGCTCTTGGGGCGTGTAGACACTTGTGAAATTGCACATATGCTAATCACAATGGCGAACAAACACGGGGGCGAAAAGGTGGTTCTTTGACCCTTTCCGCCCGTCCCAAAAGAACGCTGCCAGGCACAAAGGAGCTCATTTTCCCGCGCGAAAAGCTCTCTCTCGCTCTTGGTTCTTATCGCGCTCGGGAAAAAGGGCTTGTGTGCGCTGCCATGGTTTGGATACCGAAGCCCGGAGCTTAAAGGGAATTCTATTCAAATTGTTACACGTTATCATGCTAATTATATCAAATAAACAGAAAATGAAAATGCGATTATGAGCCACATGAAGGCGGGTTGCTGAAAAACATAAGCCATCATCATCCGGAGAGGGTTTGAGTGGGTGAAATGCTGCCAAGCGGGGACCCCAAACATGCCAAACGACCAATAAAATTTTTCAATAATCATGAAAGACTGAATTATTCCGACAACAAAAGGGGGAGAGAAAGAGAGAGAGTGTCTGCGAAAGAATATCAAGATATTCACGCCAGACACAAGATGCTAATGACGATATTCTTTCAACCCTCGCAAAATTGATTCTTTCCTGTCTCCTCACAATCCCAACAATTTGACACAATTTCACAGTTTCGGGGAGCACAACAACAAACAAGAACAATTTAACAGCGCGAGATTTCTTCTCCGCCCACCTTGCAAAGTGTGTCGCATAAAAATCAAAATGAAGAGCCATGAATTCCGTAAAAGTTCCGGAAGACTCTTTCACAGCTGGAGGGGTGGAAAAAATGATGATGAGAGATAAATTGTGACTTCTCTGTGCTCGCGCAGGAAGTCATTGGGACATGGGTGGAAATTTTGCACGACCGGCAAATGCATTGTTTCCTTCACCTTTGTCGTCATTTTGTAATTCCTGACACACAAAAGTTTGTCTTTGTCCTCCGGGCATCCGGGTAAGGCGAGTAATATCCTCATGACTACCCGCCAAAATGGGGGAACTGAATGTAGTTAGTTGTAGTCAAATTGAGTTCGGATGCAATGGATCTGACTGTGTTCACTTTGAAGTACAAGTGAAGTGTCACAAACGTTCACAATTTCCCGAAATCTTGGTCCTTTTGGATCTATACTAATCAAACATTGCTCAGAATATGGATCTTTGATCTAACTTTCATGCTTCTTAACCTTTGTACAAAATTTCTCGTTATGACATTCTGTTTCCATTCTTTCAAAAAAAGATCGTGTAGATTACACTTATTTTCTAATATCCTTACATTGTGCTTGATGGATTTGTATGAAATAAGGCTGAACCAATACGAATGATTAAAAAGTATATTGTACCTCTAAATTTATGAAAATCAATGAATTATTCTGACAATTGCTGACTGAAACTAGAACTAATCATACGAAAGATGAGTATAATTGTTCTTCATCGGTCACATTCTTGTAAGTTTTATTTCAGAAAATCTTTAATTTCGGGTGAAAATGGATCACGAAAGCCGGGAAAAATTAAGCAATTTCTTAAACTCTGCTGGAAGCCCACTCTTCCTTGAAATCTATGGCGAAGCTCCTCGACCCCACTCCTACCGAGGACGCGCTGTGGAGCGACTTGTGTAATTCAGGAGGGGCCATAAAGCCATAAAATCAATGGGGGTCTCGTCTTTTTATCATAAATAAACCATCTTATCGCACAAATATCATTGCAATCGACGCTATATCCGATGAATTTTCATTCTCACACTCATCCATGGGAAATAATTTCGCGAGACTGTGATTTCGCCACCCCCGCCGACCTTCCGAAAAAGACGTTGTGGGTTTGAGGGCATCATCTTCGCAGCGAGGCAGACGCGTATAATTTCATGGCTCAATGTGAGATGCCTTTATTGCCACTTTTATTATATTTCTCACAATTTTTACGGCGTAATTTAATTTGGGGGATGAATGGCATGGAATTAACCCTTTGACGTAGTGTAGTGGAAAATTGTCGCGAGTCTTGATATCAATCAGAAGATGATGTTTTGATGAGGGTGTGAGGAAGGCAAAGAAGATGGCGACAATCTTAATTGGATTTGAGTGGAGGAATTCGTGAAGATATTTTCACAATATGCGAGGTGTTGTGCCGGAGGTGAAGAAAAGATCCAATGAAAATTTATTGCGGTTTATTTCTGAGTTTGAGAGAGCGATACAAATTCAAGCGCTCGTGTGCTTGAGACATAAGAATGGAAGAAGAGCGTGATAAAAGTGTGTCGTGAGTGGAGTGAAAATAGACGACAATTTATTGTGACTTTTCTACAAACTTGCGGAGAAATATTCATGGGTGTTTTTCTTCTCGGGGGCGGCAAAATTGAATATTCTCTGTGTGGAGGATTAATCTTCCTCTCTTCTGGGTTTTTTCAGCTTGTGCTTGCTCAGAAAAAGAGAGCATCGATGTAAACAAGTCAATGGGATTCCTCTTATCTCAATCGCTTTTTGTCCACCTCCTCACTTCCAAATCTGCTCGCTGTTGAATGAAGAAAACGCTCTGGCCTGAATTATGATTAAATTCCCAGTGGAGCCATCGGTTTTCTTGCTCCTGAACAGGGTGCCCCACAATTATCTATTGTATATAGAGTATGTTTTCGGATCCATGATTTTGTTCTTTTATCATTTGGAATTAAAAGCGCGGTCTAAAGGGTAGAGGCTTTGTCTTTGAACCAGATTGACTTTCATCCCGACACCGTTGACGCTTTTGGTGTTATATTTCCTCCACTTTGTGGCATAAAACATTGCGCCACACCCTGTGTTTTATTCTGTTCACTTCGCCATGCGACTCTGGGTGAATTAAGGAAATCAACCTTCTCGTGGGTGTTTGGTGTGAAATTGAGAGATTTCATCTCTTTGCCAATTTTTCCACTTGTTCGAAGAGGGAAAAGTGCGAGACTCAACGATGCGCCGTTTTCTCTGCCACAAAGTGAATTTTCCACACGTGAAGAAACAGGCGCACTTGAGATGGATATGAATCTTGTCAATTTTCATTATATGCAAGAGATTGCCTCGAAGATTTCCACCACGAGATTATAATACTGAGTGTAGTTTTGGGGAGAAACATGGCATTTTGCCGCTGCGCCTCTGGAAAATATTCATGGATTTCTTCTTCTGTTTGAGGAAGAGGGGCAAAAAGTGGGCAGAAATGAAGTCTTCAGGGAGTTTTCGGGGATGATTTCTCAGTGAAAAGTATCTTTAATGGCGTTGCTTGGTGAGCGGTGGAAAAGGAGCATTTTGCTGCTCTGGGGAAATGCAAATTCTTGTGCTGAACAATACCAGTGACCCAATTCACTTTTCCACTCACATTTTCCCATCCATTTGACTTGTGATTGATTTCTCTGTTCAGTCGTTTGGAGATAATTCACTTTATGACATCAAATGGCAAAAGGGAAAGTATTGATTAGTGAGAGACTGTTGGGATTTTGTAAAAATTCAATTACATCCAGAGACATTTAATTGATGCGCCATGGGGAAGAATTCCCATAAATCCCCACCCAAGAGAGGAGTGGGTGGGCAGGAGTGATTATTGATATTCCGATGCGAGAGAAATTCATTTCAACTGTCGTCTCGTGTTGCAATAAAATAAATTTGATCGTGGCATTTAATTTGAAGTTGAAGTAGAAGAGCGAAATGGTGCGATTTGGAATTTGCTGCAACATTTGGTTCTTCAATCTGGCTTTTCTCTGTACATCCTTCGACACGCTCACCCTTTCGGTCCGCCGCCCCAAAATGGGGTGGTGGCTCTAAAATGCAGTACATGTGAGAAATGTGAGAAAATTCGCTGATCCACTGTGATTTCTGCACTTTTCTCTCATCTTTTTCCCGTGGCCGAAAAATGTGTGACTCTCCACAACTTTTCCACCATCTCTCTGCTCCTTCCTAATGTCACATTTTGTCATATGCTCACTTTTTCCTTTTCTCTCATCCCAACAGAGTGCCATAAAATGTCCGGAGAAGCGCTCCGACGGATACCATCGCCTTCGGAATAACTCTGAGGATTTCTCTCACCATCTCGGCTCGTCCGAGCTCACGCCCACTCCCCTGGAATCGTGGAGTCAGCAGAGGTCACCCCATCCTCACGTCCCATCTGAGACTCTGCCCGCGTCTGCGGTGGCCACAAAATGCAGGAGAGCAGCATCTCAGCGTCAGCAGTGATGGCACCGAATGCAAATGGCATTGATCAGGCACAGTTCGAGGCGGACAAACGTGCAGTCTACAAGTGAGTAATGCTCTTAGGCGAAAAGGCAATTGTCTAACTTGCAGACTATGTCCAAAACATTATGACATTCCGTCTGGATCTGCTGCGATCAAAAGCGATATGAGCAAACACAATTTTCCATATATTTCGAGATTTTGTTTTAGGGAAACTTCACTCTCTTGTCGAATATGCAAAGCGATATTTTCTTCACGCAAAATAAAATCTAGATAAAAACATTAGTTCAATCTTATTTATATGATCACGACTGGTATTTCAATGATCTTTGGCCTTTTGAATGGTTCTTGTAAAATTTTATGACGACGAGGCATTGCGAAAAATATGCGTGATAAAGTTTCGACATTTTTAAGAGGAAATTCTTTGAATTTCCATAGATTCCCTTAAATCACATTTCATCTGTTAGCTATGCTCCGTCGCTACTCTGTCGTGGTATGCATTCCTTATATCGTGGGAGATATTTGCATGTTCTGCAATCAAATTAAATATTTAAGTGCGTCTGCGAGTCTGAGCGGAAAGTGTGAGAGAGTGGCAAAATAAGCGCCAGCGTGGTTGATTTCTGCAGAAGACTGAGTATTTATGATGTTCGATGTTATTTGTTTGCCAGGCACCCACTCTTCTCTCTGCTGGCGCTGCTCCTTGAGAAATGCGAACAGGCGACCCAAGGATACGTGCCCGCCGCCTCAGCCTCGTCCGCCTCGTCCAACTCCTCCAGCCCGAACGGCACAAATGGCAATTGCGACAGCGACAGCTTCTCGCGCGACATCCAAGTGAGTATGCCAAGTCATTGCTCCGCGTGATTGCGTGCTGATTGTGTGGAATTTCGTCTGTAGGCCTTCGTGCAGCTGCTGGAGAAGGAGAAGAGGCCCCTCCTCACGAATGACTCGGAACTCGATGGACTCGTGAGTAGACATTTGATCAGTTAAGGAGGGAATGGAGTAGCATGTCCTTTGTCTCCGCGATGGCATTCAATTTCATCTGCTGCTTGAGTGGCCATTGAGGAAAAATCCTCTTGATTGATAAAGAGTTACATTTCAAAAGGATTAAATCAATGTAGGGATTAGCGTCTCGCATTTCATTTCACTAAATGAGGATGAGAAACTGGGTCCATTGTGATTCGACGTCAACAAATCCTTGACATCTGCACTGAAAGAAATATATGACAATTCTTTCCATCGAGAGGGTATGAGATGAATTTCTAGAGTATTGGAAATTGCGAGAACTTTCAATAGTTTACTTTGCAATTAACGCCACACATTTCTCTGAGTGTTTAAGACGAAATCCAATGGCAAATTGCATCCTTTTGGCCATCATTGTAAGGGCTAGAATGTGACTCCTTTTTGGGTGGCTAAAGATGAGTATTTGCGCTCTTTATTGCGTGTTGTTGCTTCTTTTTTGGCGGAGAGCCGTGGAGATATGGCGAATTTGTTGTTGCCTGGCGGAGAGGGTATTTTTGGCGGCGGTGTGGGAATGAGGAGAGAGCTTCAGAATGTTTGGTGAATTTGTACGGGGTATTCATGGTGCTTTTTTGGGAGAAAAGCAGCGCGTCATCCTCAATGTCTATACGAAGGAGGAGGGCATGCCAATTTTATGAATAAAATTTCCATAAAAGTTCTCGTTTTCCATACGATGCGATTTTATGTGACTGTATTTGTGAGAACAAGGGAATTTTCTACATTTTCCCACACACTTTTCTCCGCTTCTTGTCTATTTTTGCGGACTCTTTTTGCCGCTTCTCCCCAAAAGCACACAATCTTCACTCAACACAATTTTGTAGAGTTCGCACTCTGCCGTAATGTATGAATTTTGCTTCTCTACTTCTGTATATAACTCTATTTACATGGGATTTTTCCACATGAATTTATCTGCCATGGAAGTGCAGGATAATTCCTGCAGAGCATCACTTATTGATTTCCCATCAGCGTGTCACTTCGCCAAATTGTCCCCGTGAACTCTGCAACGTGCTGATGACTTGACGGATGCTGGAAGAGAGGCGGCGAAAAGGGTGCGAATCCCCTGCTTTATATGCCAGAGACTCTGGCGTATCGACAAACACAGTGCATTAGTTGTTGTTGGGGGTGAAAAGAGGCTGCGAGAAATCCCGTTGGGATCAGATTGAGGGATGGGGAGTGAGGTGGAGAATCAATACTGATTCCCTGTCGTTGCAGATGATAAAGGCTCTCCAAGTGCTGCGGATTCACCTGCTAGAGCTGGAGAAGGTGCAAGAGCTGTGCCGGGACTTTTGCACGCGCTACATCGCGTGCTTGCGCGGCAAAATGCAGTCGGAAAATCTGCTGAGGGCCGATTACCCAATGGAGCACAACAATAACCTGTCCAATTCCAGCAGTCCGGCCAACACGCCCGATCAGGTGAGTTTAAACGCATCAGAGGCTTACAAATCACATCGGTTCTGTTCTGATCTCTAGTTTGGAAAATCGAATCCTACTGCAGATTTGACTAATCCGTGTAATTTTCTCTGCAGGAGCAAATGACTGGCCAATCAGGTGGGTATTATGGCAGCGCGGATTTTTTATCCGGAACAGATGGAGCGGATTTCAGTAGTCTGCAAGGTACTTTGTCTCACTGACTTTTCACTAACTTCTCACTTCCTTTCTTCACTAACAATCTCTATGTGTTTTGTCTGGAAAGGATCTTTCAATGTTCACACGAATTCCACAGCAGCTGCAGCAGGGATTCTGGGAGCGACGAATGGTGGCTCTGACATCCACCAGAATCCCGCGAGTGGTGCTCCAGAAAGCGCCTTGCTTCCGGGCGGCGCTGCCCAGTCTCTTCACGTGCAGACACCGAATCTCGTGGCGCCTCAGGCGAGCGAATCGCCGCAAGGCGCTGGTCAGATCCTCGGATCCACCCCGCTCAGCCAAATAGGCTGTCCGCCGCTGCAGTTGGACCAGTACGCTGGCCAACTGTCGCCCTGCGGCAGTTCAGATGAAATGGACTCAGAGCTGGACAGTAACAATGACGAGTTGGGATCGAACTTCAGCACGAATTCCGGGTCGAAGAGGCAGAAGAGAGGCATCCTGCCCAAGCACGCCACGAGTGTGATGCGAGCGTGGCTCTTTCAACATCTCGTGGTGAGGACCAATTTCATGTTTTTATCCCACAAGAGAGACACAATTAAAAATGCAATTTGCATTTGCTCTGCTTCCATCCTCAATTTTCTCTTCATCATTTTGCAGCATCCGTATCCGACTGAAGATGAAAAAAGGGCCATTGCCGCACAGACAAATCTCACATTGCTGCAGGTTAGTCTTTTTTCCCATGTCACAGCCGCATTTCACTCAATTTTCCATGAGTTTTTCATTTTTGCGCGCGGAATGGGTGGTTTTTGGTGGTTCTCTCTCAATTTGAGGAAAGCCACATTGTTAGATATTTGCTGATGCCATTCTGTGTTTCTCTGCAGGTGAACAATTGGTTTATTAATGCACGACGGAGAATATTGCAGCCGATGCTGGAGCACGCCAATGACAACAATCAGAATTCGGGTAATTGCAATTCATTTGGCAAAATTAATGGCCACAAATGAGGGGACATTTTTGGTTTCTCTTTCCAGACGTGCAAAAACTGCATATTTTTCAGAATTCTAAATCTACTTCTCTTTCGTTTGATTGCAGTGCGCAAGAAATCCTCATCGCAAAGTCCCTCGAAGCGCTTCTGGACAGACGGCGTGAGCGCCGCGGGTCAGGCGGCCATCAATCCAGCCATGATTGATCCCAACATCGAGAACATCAGCGCCAATGTAAACCGGGCGGATGCGGGCGCTGGCCAGAAGATGCCCGACAACTATTACAGCTCGGACGAGAGTACGGACAGCCTCATCATCGACCAGGACACTTAGAATGCGTGCGTGTCGTGTTCCGGCAAATAGAAATATGTTTTAGTATTTTTATTTCGTGCAGCTTCGAGAGAGAGAAAAGTTATAATTTCAGACAGTGAAAAGAGAAATGTGTTGAGGAAGGGAAAGATGAGTGGCAGATGCTTTTGTGTGTGCTTTTTTGCAATTTTGAGGCATTGAAACATTGAATTGTTGATGAAGAAACTTTACAACATTGAGAACTGATAACAAATTTACCATATTTTCTCTTGAATGTGCCATAATTACCAGACTATATATATAATGTAAGAGGATAATTAGACTTGTGCTTCGCATGGAACGGAGGAAAGAGAGAAACATACGTAAGAAAAAACAATTGTAATTAAAACTTATTGTAAAAGACGGTGAAATTTGTTGAAAAATTTCTTTCTCTAACAATTGATTTTTCCTCCTAAGTTGACTTATTAAATTATACCAATGTATACGTAATATTACCTCATATTAAATTAGTATAACGATATTGTAAGTGAAGATGAAAAAGACAAGAGAGAGAAACGTAAATCACAGACATATTTGCTCATGACAGTATTAAGAGATGAAAAAAGAAACAAACCACAAAAAAGGCGATACGAGAAAATACTTTACCAGCTGTTAGAGATGTTTTTTGATGAGAAAGTCAACGTCAACGTATACGGAATTATATTTTACTTAAAGGTATAAATTTAGATGAAAAAAAACTAGTGGAATGTTCAATTAAGATGGAGATAGAGAAATATTGTGAACAAAGTATATTTTCCTATTAATTCTTAAGGCGATACTCAGATTAATGTCTCTCAGCAGACAGCTAAAAAACCAACTGTTTCGACTTAATGCCAACAATTGAACATGAGAAGAGAGAAATCACACGAAACTTCCTATAAAGAATGAATCACGAGGAGCCAATCAAAAGTGAGGAGGAAAAAACTGATGGAAAAAAGGCAAGAAAGGAAAGGAAAAGTTTAGATGATAAAGTGAGCATTTAGAGAATTGACTAAGGAACAAGAAATATATACGTAAATTTATTCCATCCTATTATACAATTAAGGTTTAAAAACACTCTTAAATAGTGGCATATTAGAGGATAATCTTTAGATGAAAGACAGATTTCATTGTATAAAGAGAGAAGGTGGTGAAAATATTGCATTACGAGGCGCTAACTTTTATATAAATTGTACATGAAGGGACGAATAGGGTTTTATTACCGTGATTCTCCTCTCTATGCAAGCCATATTTTGATCCTTTTCTTCCTTCATATATCAGTTTGTGTTTGTCTCGATTCATATTTTGAGCGGAGAAATTATTGTGCATGTGAACTAATCAATGATAAACAGAACAGAGTTAATGAGTCTTTCTTTATTTCGTTTCTGTCAATAAATTCTCAACTAATAAAACATTAAAGAGCCAGCGAGATACATTTATTCTGATGAGTTTATCGGAAATGCCATAAAAATGTGCCATTAAATATGAGAAAAAATCCACACAATTGACTTTCTCCGTTCTCAGACTCGCTGCTATACTCATTTTTCTTGCGTTCAATTTAAAAAGGACGAAGAATACGCATTGCCTGTGATAAGTAGAATGTTTCATTTCCGCGATCAGTTGCAGAGCCTGAACAGAAGATGGTTTTATGCTGAGTTCCGTTCAGACAAGATGTTCTTGAAGAAAGCAATAATACAACGAAGATTTCCCCTCCTTTTTGACTTGTTTTCCGGTCGCTTGAGCTACAACACAAACACAGAAAATTATCACAAGAAATTTGTATATGGAAATGTTTAGAAGGAAAGCTCGCTAGAGAAGAACATATTGAAGGTGTAATTTGAAGCGCTTAACATTTTATTGGAAGAAAATAATAAAAATTGGGTGAAATTTCTCGAGACATAAAAAAGAAATGCTGTACGATAAGAATGACGAAATGGAAAAAGCTGAACATTTGAATGAAGAAGTAAAAAATGTCCAAGACTTTGGAGATTTCTGGATGTATACTCAAAAATATTTTTAAGTATTTTTAGCCCCTAAGAAGTGTATACTAAAAAAATATTATTATACAGATGAGGACAAGATGATTTAAACAAATAAAAGTTTTCCTTGAAAGACACACGCGCATTGAGCAAATAAGCAGAGGAAATTCTTCGATCATCAATCATGGTGAAGAATTCTTTTCCCTTTTGTTGTGCTTGTCTCTTCAGTGCTGAATGCTTTCATCTGCGTGACGGAGAACAAGGCACATGAGAATAGGCGAGGATGGATTGAAAATAAACACGAGTCTGTGGTCATTTTCCCGCCAAATTTTCACACAGCTCGCCATGAAAAACCGTGGAAGAAAAGAATCGTAAATATTGTTCAATGACTTCATCAATTTCCACTTTTCTGCGGTGGAAATTGAGAAAATTGAGGATGTTTACGAGTTTTTATTTCTCAATTATGAATTGAGTGTCTCTGATTGCGAGGGGCTAAGCAAAAGAAAAGTTACTTACCAAAGCTCAAGCGGTTTGCATCGAACCACTGGGTTATAATTTTTTTTAATACAATACATAAAATCATCATTAACCATTTCCAATTCAATTCTGGGCAAGATAAATAAATACAAAGAGATCTTATGCGTTACACGAAGACGCCTCAATGAGTTCCCCTTCTTAAAGCCCCAGCAAATCGACACGGAAGTGATACAGGAAGAGAGACTGTTGAAAAAGTTATTTTAATTCGCTCCGCCGCGACTCAATTTTCCTCTCTTATACAATGTGAGAACTTATCTATGGGCAGTCACACTCGCGCTCAGATGCATCCGTTTCCCCAGCAGGCGCACCAGGGAATCTTGCCGCCCGCGTGGGAGTTGATGGAGATGCGGCGGGACTTCTGCGATCGCGTGCTGGCACTGGCCGAAGACTCCCTGGAGCTGGCCAGACTGTTGCGCTCGAACGCCAACTCGTCCAGCGGCGGCTGATGCGAGTTGCGATGCGAACGCTTCTTCTTGTGCTTCGTCGGTACTTCGCTGTTCTTCCTGTGATGCTGCGCTCCTCCCGCAGGTCCCGGAGTGGCACTCGAGGAGTCCCCACTGACGCGCTCGAAGCCAATGGGAATCTTTGGAGTGGCGCCCGAGGAGGACTCCTTGGCCGGAGGTTCTTCATTCTTCTTCCCATTGAAGTAGAGCGAAACTCTCCTAGATTTCCGGCGACTGTCTTCGGATGATGGGCAGTTTAGTGTCTTATTCTTCTCCCGTTCTGGACTTTTCTCCTTGCAATCCTCCTTCACCTCAGCAGGGCTGCCCGTTTCGTCAGTGCTGAGAATCTTGGGGGTCAAAATGTGACTGGAAACGCTGGGTAGATGAGCTAGGATGGCGTCAAAGTTATCCTTCGGCTGCTGCACGATGTTCTTCCGCTCGGGCTGGTGAGGATATAGTGCTGAGAGAATAGGCATCGGTTCGGGTGGCTTTATCTCGCTCTGCATCAGAATTATATCGGGCTTCTGTGCCTTCTCAGCTTCTGCGTCATTCGTCGAGAGCACCAGATTCACCTCCGATCGATATTTGGTCATCATCTTGGGCGATTCCAGGCTCGTCGTATTGACATTCTCTCTGTTCTGCATCTGCAGAATTCCTTGCGAAAGAGCCTCAATGTCTTGGAGGAGATCGTCGAGATTCCCGCCGGACTGAAAGTTCCTGATGGCGGTGGGAGATCTCGGCGGTAGTGGAGATCTGGGCGTGATGGGCTTCTCGTGTGGAATCGCAGCGAAAATGTTCTCGAAGTGAGATAATGGCGGCCCCACGGACTGCAGATCGTTGATCTTGGGCAGATCCGGCGTGTCTGGCGGCGACAGGGCCGAGAAAGCCGTCTGGTGTGGTGAAGTGTGAGACGAACTTGAGCCGCTGCACGCGAGATTCTCCTCAGAGACAATGGACAAGTGGTCGAACTTCACATGGAGATTCGCCTTGAGATTGTTCTGCTCATTCTCTGTGCTCTCCGCCGTTTCGGGAGGCACTTCCTCCTCTTCTTCCTCCTCAATAGCCTCGTCTTCCTCCTCGCCACAGGTATCACAGGATTCCCCAGAGTCCTCAGAGTCGCTGGCATTCTTGCCGCCCTCCTTCATGTTGTGCCTCAGCAATTTGTCCAGTCGATCGTACTCATCGCGCAGGCACCAAATTTCCCGCCTCAGCTGGTCATTTTCCCGCCGCAACTTCCGAATGTCCGACTGACCGCGCTCCACCTCAGCATTGATATTGATCGTCCGTAGTCTGAGCTCCTCATTCTCGAAGATCATTCCCCGGGACGACTTCCTGTCCAACCTGCAAGGGAAACACGCCCTGTGAAATCTGTGCTGATCCTTAAACGCCCATCAAAATGCTTCACCTGCGGTTGGGCTTAAAGTTGGCATGGCGGCGGCGCTCCCGAAGCATCCTGGCTCAGGCGAACGTCCACAGATCAGGAGCAGCGAGTGTGGCTGAAAGTGAGAAAGACGTGTTGCTCATTAACGACAAAATAAACACCACACATCGACGCCGCACTGCGAAGGCGATTAAATTAAGCAGACGCTGAGATTGCGCCGATTGAGAGCCGCAGCGTCGGCCAGAAACGAGACAATGATCTCTAACAAAAATCATAACATAGACTAAAGATAGGAGAATACAGAAAACCCTCGATTGCTCTGGCCTCACTTATAAATGCAATATTTGTTAGCACAGAAAATGTTTTCAAATTATTAAGTATACATTTGTAAGGTACCGAGATAGAAACTTTGAGCATTAACAATGTTGATATGATCCTAAGTTTGAAATTTTCAAAAAAAAGTCACAAAATAATTCAATGTCTGTATTAAAAGTTGAGAAATACCCGGAAAATTATACTTTGTTATGAACACCTTTTCCCAATATAGACTTAAACAGTTCAATCACTCTCTTGATGTGATGATAAAACTAACTAGCCGCGGCTGTTTTGCGCCGCCACTTTGGCTCAGAGCGGGAAAAAGCGACTGCGAGGAGCAGTGTTAGTGCTGCGAATACAATAACACAATGGAAACACATTGGCTGACTCCTCGGCACGGAGGGTGGGTGAAAATTGGGCGATGAGAGTTGGACATGGGCATATTTAATCAATCTCCCAATTGATGACCTCGCGGCATTCCTCACATTTTTGCTCAGGATCTCACAACGTGGCTCAGGAGCACCTTAGCATTGCCGGAAAAATGGATGTTCATCGCAATTATAAATAGGCATGTTGTTGGCCTATATTTGATCACACATTTTCACGAGCTCTTCTCCACATTTTTCACTCTATGGTTTCACACTCTTTTGCCGAAAGTTTGTTGGACAGCCAGAAAGATGATTTTTCACCACTTTATCCACCGCACGAGCAAAACTTGCGAGAGATTATTATGTAAAACGAGGCGACGTGAGTTGTCGTGAGGCGCGCGGGAGAATTGGAGTCAGTGCGAAAAGGCAAAATCAACTGTCGACTCACTACTCAAATCTTCATTCCTCCCGTCGGACTTTTCACTCTCAATAACTTCCATTGAGGAGGGCAAAATTTGTTTACTTTGCGTGTTGGTGTTTCTGCGCGCGCCTCGCATCGCACATGGGACCATGAAAAAGCGCCATGTAATAATCTTATTTTAGATAAGCGATCGAAGATGATCGTGATTGCGAACGGAGCAACTCTTTCGCTCAGCCCGAGAGCGAGCCACAAATCACTGCACTCTCGAGAGACACTCGCGGAGTGACTCAAGTGGCCAGAGGCACAAATGCATCCTAATGTGATCTCAAGTGGCTTCGCAGAGAGTCTCAGTCTCAGCACACCCGCGAAACTCTGTGCAATTCGCAATCTGTCGCGCCGCGACATCGCGATCATTCCTCAATCGACACACTTTCGCCCAAAGGCAGGCATTCAACGGCAAAAATTTATTCTCATCAGCAATTTATCGCGATGTCACTGACTTGGTGAGTGTTTGTGTGTGTCGATATAAAAGCCCCTCTGGTTAATCCTCCTTCTTCTGCTTCACGTCCTTCTCGCCCTCGCTCGCTTCTGCTACACCTTCACTTCCGCTCTCCATCACCTGCACCTCTCCGTCGCTCTGCTTCTTCCACGGTGTGAATCGCACGTCTTCCTCTGCAACGAGATTGCAGAAGTGTTCCATGAATTCCAGAATTTGAGCACGAGCAACTGAATCTGCGCAGTATAGTGAAATTAGTAGGCTTAAACTGAAGCATTGTAATTTAATCATATAAATTCCATAGGCAAGCGAAGCGAACACATCACACTGCGATTTCTGAGTGAACTCGCGATAGACTATTTTGCTTCTTTTTTGGGAGTTCATAAAAAAAAACCATAGGAAATTATAAGAAAATAATTGCCCTCTGGCAAAATTTCTTATTGGTAAATTCTTGATCTTGCCGTTCCTGAAAGATAAGCCCGCGACGTTGGAAATTAATGTTCTAACTCCAAAATAAAGGTTATTCATTGGCTAGAGAACGATGATTCGGACGGTAAGTCTCCTAACTTGTAATCTGTGTAAAGTCAATCAGATGAGGAAACTATCCATTGGATAACGTCCCATCAAATAGTTATTAAATAAAGTCAACCCTATAGAATAAAATCGTGGATTATTTATCCTCTCTATGGCTATAAAATACTTCGATAAAAGTTCTTTTGTTGTAATCTTCTTCTATGAATAGATCAAAATTATGTTCATAATTTACAATGAATTAGCCACCTTCTATGCTTAGTTGCTAGATTTCGCGACATTAAAATCAATGATAGATTACATAGAGAGATGCTTTAATGTGAAATTCCAGCTCTTAGCATCGCTTGGTTATCGTAAACTCGTGTAAAACGTTATTTTTCTTGAGCGTATTTTCATGTCAAATGAGGTCACATTAATATTTTAATAATTCACTTTATGGACTGTTTTAGTGTGCTTTATCGTCTTCTAAACACTTTTATGGCTTCTCAAATTCTTCAGACTATTGCTTCTTTGGTTGTTCAGCAGGAAAAAGCCTCTTGCCAGAGAAATTATGCTGAAGATGATCATAAAATCTCCCCCAAAATAGTCTATTAATAGTTTTCTACTGATATTTTTAGGCTTTCTGCAGCAAAGTCAGTGCAAGATTTGGAGTGATATTTCGGCAAGAGCGATCAGCAGATGGAAAATGTGATTGAACAAGTTTTATTTCAACTTTGATAAATCACGTCAAGCATTCAATTGAAATGCTACAAATTTATTCAATTCATCCTCCACTAAAAAGCCGCTCTAAATCACAGCAAAGACGCAAAGCAACATGAAGAATCTCAACAATGAGAATCTAATTGAAACGGCTGGACAAATGGTTTGGCTGCTGATTGAAAAACTCTTTTGAAAACACACTCAAAGGCGCGGGAAAAGAATCGCGAAAAAATAAACACTGACGCTAGAGAATTTATGAATTTCTCTCTCCACGCCACATCAATAAATTAAGTCGTGTGCGCAGGAAAAGCTCAAAGCGCGAATAAATCACTGATATTTCTCATCATCAGAGTTGTGAAAGAAATGCACACACACAACTCACCATTGTCTGACGATTTGGACGATGGAACGCTCTCTGAACTATCAGTCTTCTCGCCAGGCTTCTCTTCCCTCGCGACGCCTGCACTTCCGCCGTTTCTCTCCAAACTTGTGAGAGTCGGACGAAGTTTTCTCGCTGGATTCATCTTATTGCAGTATGCACAAACGAAATTTGAGTACTCAAACTCCTCCTGCAGTGCCATACCTGCAGAATAAAGGAAAGAATTCATTAGGACAGGCTCCTTCTAATGCCATTTTCATCCATCATAGCAATCTCAGGTTCTATGAGGAATAAAAGTCCCAGAATTTACTTAATTTCTACACTAATTTGGCTTCAAATTTGTCTACATTGAAATGTCCGCATTGAAATATAGAAGACTTTTTTTTGTATATCAAAGAATAATGGTTTTTGACAATCAAGAGTACCATAAGATTGCAGGAAAAGTAGTTTTCCTCACCATTGTGTCTGAAGCAGAACTTGCAGATCATGGCATATCGCGATGACGGTCCATCACCGACCAAATAATCCACCATTCGCTCCACCACATTGCGCTTCTGCCAGTCGATGACCGGAAACGTGAGTGGTCTCGTCGGAGTGGCAGATCGCGGCCGCGGCGCTGGAGTTGGATTCGGTGTCCTCGCGACAGGAGTAGCGTGTTGCGGTCTGTAGGGACTGACATAGTTCATATTCCGCACCTGCGGCGTCTCATGCCCGGTACCCAATCGCCTATCCGTGACCGGAGTGGCAGCCGGAGTAGCAGCGGGCGTCTTCATGATTCTCATCGAAGCGTTCTTGTCGCTGAATCTGTCCAAGATCTGCAGAGCGACCTGAGAAAGTGAGAACGAATCCAGATTAATGTCAGTGGTAAAAACAAACAAGGTGTAAAGAGATAATGCCACTCATTAGTGAGGCAATAAAAGGCAACAGAAAGTTTGTCTTGACTCACTTTGTATGGTTCATTGTTCATAACATTCTCAAGTGTCTGTCTCTTCTTGTCACGCAAAGAAAAGAGTTCATCGGACTTCTTGTTCAATTGCCTGTCGAAGTACAGATTGAGGATCCATCGCACGGTGAGGATCAAGAAGGGGAAGCAGAGAAGAGGCCAGCTGTACAAAATCCGTTCAGTCCACGTTGGCGGAAAGTAAAATAAGTAAAACACACCAAAACCGACGATAAACACGATAAGAGATCCAACTATGAAATTCCCAACAAATCTCTTCTGTCGCTTCTGCGTCTCCACCGAGTAACTCTCAATTTCGTTGATTCTCTTCTCAATCTTCTCCAGCTTCTGGAAGGACGACTCCTTTTTCTGCAAAGTGACAGACACAGAACAGAAGAATAATTAGTAAAGCATGAAATTTGGAATTCACATGTTTTCTGCTATGAATCTTTATGAACAAAACGTGAAAGACTTGTTGATCCATTGCCAACAAATCGAGTGTTGTGTAGAAATTCCATCTGAAAAAGCCGATCTTCTGCCCCAAAGTGCACAAAAAGGCCTTTATGATCGCAAATTTATGACGGGAGACGGCTAAATATAGTCAAAGTTAATTAATTCCTCAACTTCATTAGCAATGTTGCGAATTCTATTGCACTTTCTCCTCGTCTTTGCTGCCTGGTGAGCGCTTGGAGACTCATTGACTGCGTCCAAACTCACTAGAAGTGTGGGTTTTGCATGACTTCATCTCTGTGAACTTTCTCAGTGCACTGAACAATAAACGCAATAAAGGCAGTGTGCGTGGGTGCGCCTCAAAGTGACTGATAAGGTGATAGGAAGCCCTTGACCTTCCGGAACCTCAACACAAGCCTCAATTGCCTGTCCGGGAGCATATATTCCCAATTCTGGGGCACTTGGGGACACTCCTCTAGCCATTTGAATAATAAATAGGCGAAAATGTGCTGAAAAGCGCGAAAATCAGCTGAAAATGCCGCTGAAAGCATAGGTAATCATGTCTATTAATAAATCACTTGTCAGCTCGGTCTACCGACTCCTGGACATTCGCCCCACTGACCCCCCGGCCGAAGCAACGTCTCGCCTCATCGGAGCCGCAAAGACACGTCGAATATGAATAAATTTACGTAAAATTTTAGGAATATCATAAGACAAACAAAGCTTAGCTCACCCGAAACTTCGATATCAATATTCCCATTGTTGTGCAACTCTGATTGCGGTGATTGCAACTGGAATAGATTTCAGGACACTTATGGCTGTTCACAATGTAGATTTGATGGCTTTCCCGGCACTTTTCACTAGCAAAATTGCCAATTTTCTGAGAGCAACATTATTTGTGGGCTTTTGGGCCAACCTGTGGTGACATCGCGATGACAACCGCTCACAGCGCCACTTAGCGAACAATCTCGAAAGTATTCTGTGGCGATGTTTTCTGTTTTAACCGATTTTTCAGGAGTATCACAACCTTATTCTATAAATTTAGTCCTAATTGATAATAAATTTGCAAAAACGACGTAAGATCCTTTGAATTCGTGCAATTTTCAGAGTTTTTTCGTGGCCAACTGAGCAATTCCATGGCTTAGTCTGAAGTTAGTTGAAATCCGCAGTTGACATCGAATGAAAATGGCGTAGGAGATGTTTTCAGTGGTAGTTTAATGTTTTTTGTGTTTTTACCTGGAAAAATCACCGCTTTTCACTGTAAAATCTACCCCATTTAGTGCATTAGGAGGTATGGAAGATAATGTAATAGGGTTTTACCGCGCCTCAGCGATGGCAAGCAAAGAAATGGTTGTGTGAAAATTGAGGTGTCATCATTTTCACACGAAAACCTCTGTTTGTCTTTTGTGGCCAAAATAATAGTCTGAAGAACACAAAACAGAGGCGAAACTTGAGTGTACATCTGAAATTGTTGTTTTTTCATACTGTTGTTGCTCTGGGTGGGGTGCTTTGTGCAAGAACTGAAGATTTGTTTGTGTTTTTCCGATGAGACTCCGCCCCTCAGCGCCTTTGTATACATTGCAGATTGGGCAGCATCGAAACCGAGCAACGATGGAGGACGAGAATATCCAGGACAAGGAGAGATTCGCCAGCAGGGAGAATCACTGTGAGATCGAGAGACGACGTCGCAACAAGATGACTGCCTATATCACGGAGCTGTCGGACATGGTGCCCACTTGCAGCGCCCTGGCGCGCAAGCCGGACAAGCTGACCATTCTCCGGATGGCGGTGGCGCACATGAAGGCGCTCAGGGGCACCGGCAACACCAGCACTGACGGCACGTACAAGCCCAGTTTCCTCACCGATCAGGAACTCAAGCACTTGATCCTGGAAGCGGCCGACGGGTTCCTCTTTGTCGTATCCTGCGACTCCGGAAGGATCATTTATGTCAGCGACTCGATATCTCCGGTGCTGAACTACAGCCAGAGCGAGTGGTACGGATCTTGCATCTATGACAATGTCCATCCGGATGACAAGGAGAAAGTCAGGGAGCAATTGTCAACGCAGGAGCCCCAGAACAGTGGCAGGATTTTGGATTTGAAGACGGGCACGGTGAAGAAAGAAGGACATCAATGTGAGTACTGAAGATTTCTCTTAAAACAACATTATGCACAATATTCAATTGATACCTGTTATTTGCACAAGCTTTGGTTCATTTAAATAAATACTAATCCTATTTCAGCTTCCATGAGACTCTGCATGGGATCTCGACGTGGCTTCATTTGCCGAATGCGCATCGGGAATTTGAACACGGACAACATGGCCACGGGCCACTTGAATCGTCTGAAGCAGAGGAACTCTCTGGGCACCGCGAGGGACGGACGCAATTATGCCGTTGTGCACTGCACTGGCTACATAAAGCACTGGCCGCCAACTGATATGTTCCCAGGCGTGCAGATGGACCGTCCAGTGGACGACGAGTTCAACACTGGAAACTGCTGCCTCGTGGCCATCGGACGCCTCCAGGTCACGTCGACATCCAACCTGTCGGACTTGTCGGGATCGCAGAATCAAAATGAATTCATCTCGCGCCATACGATGGACGGAAAGTTTTCGTTTGTGGATCAGCGCGTGATGAATGTTCTGGGCTACGCTCCGACCGATCTTCTGGGAAAGCTGTGCTACGAATTCTTCCATCCAGAGGATCAAAACCACATGAAAGAGAACTTTGAGCAGGGTGAGTGTGCAGAAGAAGGTATGAGGAGGGATTGATGTGACAAATGCTGTTGTATTTGCAGTTCTCAAGCAGAAGGGACAAATGTTTTCAGTGATGTATCGCTTTCGGTCGAAGAATCGCGATTGGATCTGGCTGAGAACTCAAGCTTACGCATTCCTGAATCCTTACACTGATGAAGTGGAGTACATTGTGTGCACAAACAGCTCGGCAAAGTGAGTAAAAATGTCTCCGATTGAGAAGAATGGAAGTTGAAAAATGATCTTTTTGGTAGATCTCTTCATGCTACGCAAGAGAATGTGACTCCAGATCCCACAGAACAGGCATATCAAGCGCCCGGATTGGATTATTCTCTCCAGAACAGGCGAGATCCACCAGTTGTCAGCGGTAAGTTGCCAAAATAGCCCTAAGAAGAATTTTTGCAGATAGTTTTTATGTGTTTTGCAGGTGTTTACAATCCTCACGAGATGATTCCTCACATTTCCAATCAAAATAACATTCAGCGTCCTGGAAGCACGCAAACAACGGCGGCCGCTTACAGTGGATACGAGATGTCTTCGTCGCCTGTTGGGTAAGGAAGCCTAGGGGGAGTCTGAGACGGTGTTTACATATAAGTACTTGCAGGTATGCTTCTCCTGGAGCTCCGGCCAGCTCTAATACAGTATTAGGACGCATTCACAAGAATAATACGACATCGCCCACTCCAGCGCCCACAGCTTGGCCCATCCGGCAGGTAGAGCGGAGAGTAGTCCTTAAGAATTGAGAATAGATGGTGATGGAATTTCTCTCTGATTCTTGCAGCAACCCGTCACTGAGGGATATCAATACAATCAGCTGAGTCCTTCACGCTCTCCCAGTGGTCCGACGTACACTCAGCTGAGCGGAGGAAACTTGCGGCCTAACTATCAGACCGCTGAGCCTCCGCACGCGAATACGAGTGAGTGTCTAGATGTCAATTTACTCAGATTAAAATCATCAAAAGTAATTCGTTCGATTGACAAAATGACTATTTCCTCTTCTTCGCAGATCTTTGGGGTTGGCAGGCGCCCGGACAGCAGCCTGAGCCGCCGGGACCCAGCTCAACGACCGCCACTGCGCACACGGTCTCTATTGTGACGCCCAACAATCCACAAGGCCAGCCGCAGGGGCAGGAACTCTCCGATATGCTGCAGATGCTGGATCAGAGCGGCACGACGTCCTTTGAGGATCTCAACATCAATATGTTCACGACGCCCTTCGAGTGAACGCGAGACTCTCTCACCGGATGAACATCTCCACTCGAGGCTGGGCGCATTTTATTCCGAGAGTACTTAAGTGGAATTGATTATATTGAAGCCCTTCTCTCTCAATTAAATGTAAGTTTAAATGCATTTTAATATGTTTGGACATCTTGATTTCTCTATAGCTAATAGATGAATGGTAGTTAAGAAGAGGAATTATAAGTATAATTTTTGCAAATTAAGTGTAGCTAGAATGTAAGAGAGTGAGAATATAATTGATCATAAGATTTAGAGAAACGAAATCGTTGCAATAGCTAAAGTGAGTTTTGTCAAATTCCACGCGATTTATTTAATAGAATTTCTATAATTAGTTTTTACATCTATAGCATAAATTTACACACATACACACAGAATTCAGTATAATTTTCCCAGCACATAATTTTCAAGCATTTGACGAGAGAGAAAAACCGCACGGATTTTCTTTGATTTTCAAAATATATTTATGTACGAGCAGAGATACTGTTACAAAAATAATATAAATTACATTTATGGATGATCCTTTTTAAGTTAAATACAAAAACGTAATAGTATAATTAAGTAGCACGCATTTTGCAAAAAGCACTTGAAGTACTCAGTTGGATATTGGAGGCACTTCGAATGTCACGAGGTTGCCGGCATTCTTGAACGCCGGTACTGTGGTAGCCGACACGACTTCCACGTTCAGCTTGCGGGCCTTCTTGCCCAACTGGCACGATATCGATGTCTCGACGATTACTCTGAGGTCGTTCCGGTGGATGCTGGAAAGGCAGAGAAATGTTATTAAGACTTTCTCCAGTTGATTGCCAAGATCACACTCACTCGTAGTATCGCTTGCAAACATTTCCCACGACTTCTCCGATTCTATCCTCGTGCAGGAGCGCCCCGTTCTCAGCCTGGAGCGCCACCACAAGATCATTGTTGTCCGGGGAGTGGAAAACAATCAACTGATCTCTGTCTGGACTCACGCTAAGCCCAGTAAGCTGTAAAAAGCACAGACGTTAGCCTTAATGAAACTCTCAGTAGGCACGTAAATTCTCACATCTCGAATGGCGATGGATCTCTTCATATTCCGGAACTTTCCTCTGGCATCTTCCAGCTTGTAGATGGTGTTCTCGGTGATCATGATGGCACGGTCGGCTGTCTTATTGAACCTGTTGAACTTCTTCACGAAGCCCGAGAAGAGGATGCTCTTGAAATTGTCTGTACTCATCATTGTCCTGGCGCTAGCATTGAATGCATTATATTGCGAATTTTCCTGCGCTATGGACAAGTAATTGCCCTGCCACTTGCGATTGAGGCCCAGATGGGGGCGCTTTCGGCCCATGGCGTGAGCAGCAACGATCTGGAGTCTCAGAGTCGGCCACTCGGATCTTGGATAGCGTCTGAGGATCATGAAGCAGCGCCACTTGGTGAAGATGTCCATGAGAATCCTTCTGGCATCGCGATGAATCAACCTCTCGCTCGGCCACTGAATGTTCTTCCCATAGTCTGGCATATTGCGCGCATTTCTGAAGAGCTTTGACAATTTCTCCACGTACATCCGCAGACGGTAGTTCCTGTAATACCTGATGATCGTCAGAGCGGCTAGCATTTTCTTGTACCGCCTCCTGCAGATCCATCCTCGAACGTGCTTCTGGATCAGCGTCACAATTTGCGGGATCATCTGATTGCGATGCCTCTCGAGATCGAACACAGTTCCTGGGGATCGGATGAAAATCTTCGATCGGCCGTACTTGACGTCTGAGTGGAATCCCTTGTCTTTGATCAGCACCTGGACACCTTCCTTGGCTCCAGCGCCACGATAGTTCGGCCAGGTGTACTGCGAGATCATCTTGTAACGCGCCAGGAACTTCTCGTATGTCTGACGATGGGCGAAGCCCGCCCGCCGGACACGCACGTTCTCCAGCAGTCCAAGATAGCGAACTTGGTGAATCACACGGTCCTGATCAAATTTCGCAGGCGCCTTGATGTCGTTCGGCTTGATGCAACGCAAGTAGAAAGGCTCCTTGGTCTTCAGCTGTTTCACAAGTTCCTGCATGGATCGCTGGAAGAGTGTTCCAGCCGTGAGTGGCCGCTTGGTAATTTTAGAGATGTCTTGAGCGCCCTCGGGCCACATCCCACTCAATAGCGGATCCTTGGAGCTGAATAGCAGCCTCTTAAAGTCCTGGAAGAGCGTGTCTTTGTTCTTCTCTAGAAATCCATCGATCTTGTACACAACATCGCCGGCAAAATGCACGATCCTGAAGTCCTTCTTGTGCTGCAACTCCTTGTCCATGGGTTTCAGCTGGCGACTGGTGTAATGCGGATGCTGGGCCAGCTTCTTGTCCATCGCCTCCAAGAGGATCTCATCATTGATCTTGCCCACATTGAGACACGCCTCATCCATAGTGGCAATGATGCCTGAGTGTGGCTTCTCCACCAGATCGCAGATGATCTGATTGTTGAAGTACTCAATCACCGTCCACTCGATGCCCTCGCGACGGTACTCTTCCTGCTCTTGCTGCAGCACAAGTTCAATGAAGAGTTGCTGCAGCTTTTCATTGCAATAATTGATGCAGAATTGCTCGAAGCTATTCGTGTCGAACACTTCAAATCCATAGATGTCCAGCACGCCAATCTCACGGAAGTACCGCTGCAGGTTCTTGTCGCCCGGCGTGGCGATGCCGCGGTTTATGTGTTCGATGATCCAGTCGAAGAGACGCTCATAGATGCTCTTGGCCAACGCATCGCGGCCGAATTCCGCCTGAGAAACGTTGTGCTCCTTCACCACAACATCTCCATGGGCCGCAATCACTCTCCCCGTGAGAGCATGGCGTAGATCAGCCTCCGTCACGCGCAGCAGCGATGACACATTCTTCAAGGCGTTCTGGTTCGCGACGCCCAACTTGTCGTCTTCACCTGCAAATGACAAATGCTAGACTTGAGGTGTGTTCACTGATTCAGCGCTATCGCTAGAGCATCTCTTGTTGAGTGGGAAGACAAGCCGGCAGTGCGTGAAAATGTGAATGGAGCGCGCCCGAAAAAGCGCGTTTATTTACGAGCATGGATTACATGATTATCCCTCTTATGTGTTGTCATAATTCACGGGATTTCACTGAGTAAATTAAATGGTATTGTATTGAGAAAGCATTTTGCCAAGCTTGTGAAGAGCTGGAATTTCTATAGTCAACACAATTTTTATCTGAATAACTCTGGTTCTGTGGATTGGATCCATTCGATCCAAAATTGAATTCCTTTTAATTAATGATTGGATGTTCGTATGATTTTCTTTTCATGATTTTGAATTCTCCCAACTAAGTTTTTCGATTTTGTAGCATTGCTTTTTCAATATCAGCGCAGAATGTGAACTGTACTTTAGCCCATTTCTATATAAGTGTAATTGCATCAAAAATTATATTGAGAAAATGCCTTGTTACAACTGTATGACTGCCTCAGTGCTTCGCGTCATCTTCATTTATGAAAATGATCTAATCAAAAATCCATTGACTCGACATTCCCGAGGCAAAAGACTCCAGGTTACCCATCAATTACCAGCAATTAGATCAATTATCTCTTCCCGATTGCGCAAGAGAGTCGAACAACAAACAGACTCATTGAGACTCACTCTTGAACTGGACATTGCCGAGCCAGAGAATGGCTCCGAGGAGTCGCCAGATGGTCTGAATCTCCTCGGCGCTGAAGTGGAGGGATGTGAGAGCGGCCAGAGTGGTCTTGAAGTTGGCCTTCTCCGCGGGATCTACACTTCCTTGACTGGTGTAGTGAAACTGTCTCGGGTCACGAGTCAACTGAAGATCTCTCAGCTCTTTATCACTCGCGCCATTTAGCAGCTGATAGAAGCAGTGGAAGTTCCTCTCGCCGGGCAATTGCTGGATCACCCTGGACTTCTCCAGAAGGTACTTCGTCACCACTCCGCCCACAGGATCCGCCTTGAAGTCGAACACAATTTCCATGTACTTGCCAAAGCGACTGGAGTTGTCATTCCTGTTGGTTTTGGCATTACCGAAAGACTCCAGAAGAGCATTGCTCTGGATCAGGACGTTTCGAACTCTGCAAGAGAATTCCACGCTTTACCAACTGACCAGCAATTATTGCGAGAGAGCATTTCACAAATCGTTAGCAATAAATTGGAATTTTTTTTTCATTACGATTACTGCTCATTCTCTTTTCATTGCGAAAGAATTATGGAAATATCACCTCTGAATCTGACTCTGACTCTCGGGATTCGTTATTGCCGCGATGTATTTCATGATAATCTTCGATGCTTCGGTTTTTCCAGCTCCAGACTCGCCGGAAATTATGACACAAGTGTCGCTGTTCTTTTGCTTTATGGCACGATAGGCAGCATCTGCGAGGGCGAAAATGTGCGGTGGATTCTCAAAGAGTTCCCGACCTGCAAAGGTAAATCACCCAATTTCTTAAAATACTCCTCAAAGTCATTGGAGAACTACTTGACAATACGATAAGATTAGATTGACTCTTGCTCGTTACATAATATCATTCGCGCCCTGCTGAAATTACTGTTCAATAACCGAACAAATGTTTGGAAAGAGAGAGAGAGGAAATTGAACGGAAAAGACTTTCGCTTGCCATCCAATTATAGCTCTATTTCATTGCCGTTCGTCGCATTTGAGGAAAGTGATGCTAAAATTATACATTAACGCAATTTTTCACCACAAAGAACGCCAAAATTTGCACTTGAAACGCGCAAGGAATTTTTTTCCCAAGCGTAAATCCGCTGTTTATTTATCAGCAAACATTTCTCAGCGGACGCCCAAAAAAACCGAAGAGAACAATCTTTAATGCTCTCCATCAATGACTCAATAGTAATATTGCGAGTAAATGTGACGAAGACAGTTCGTGGTGGATAGATTGGAATCATTTGGATGAAGAAAAAGTTTCTACATTCATGTCTGAGTGCTTCTCATTACAGTCAGGGATTGTCATATCTCTTCAGTGAAATTCATTGCCAGTAATCAATGACTTCATCCACAATTTGCGGTGGAAAATGGAGAAAATATTCAGCGAATTAAGATAAATACAGGAAGAGAGTCATATTGCATGGAATTCTAAGAAAAGAACCATTGTCAAGTGCGGCAGAGGACTTTTCTAAGTAGTTCAATAGACAGATAACGAAATCAGTGATAAGGGAGTGTGGATATTGAGAGCTCACCTTTGTACTTATTGACATTGTCCGTTCCGTAGATGTTCATCTCGCGGTACGGATTCATGGAGACGCACACCTCGCCGATGTACGTGTAGATCACATTCGCTTGGAACCTGGCCAGAGAGATGCGCACTCTTTACACTCGAGAAAGTGTTTGGACAAGCGCAGAGACTCACCTTTTCCGCAGGTTGTCCACGATTTTCTCCTCCGTGAGTTGATCGAGTAGCACGAGATCGTGCACTCCGGGCTGAGTCTCCGCGATGACCATGATTCTTGGGGCTTTTCTCGGACGGTGCGCGCAGGGAAAAGAACGCAGCAAGGAATGTGATTCACTTCGGACACCTGTTCAGGGCGAAAAGACACACATCACTGAAGTTGTGAACTGATAAAAGTCTCCACAGCACTCGATCGCTTGTTATCTATTGAGAATTCTTCACGGGACAATCTTTGCGAGTTCACACCTTGACTGCACGCGCGATACTACGGACGCCCTCGCTTCGCGCTCACGATTGAGTCACCGCGATTGAAGCTTCTTGAGTCACACACTCATGAAATGCATGCGTGCATTTCATATTTCGTTCGCATTCGAAAACTACACGATTTTTCATTTGTGAAGAGCGATTTGATGTTCCGATAAGACCTAATTGAGTGGGTCAGAAGCCGAGGTTAATCCTTAAAGTGCCCTATTTTGCATTTTACATGCTGAGATTCTCCACTATGATGACGCAAAACTCGCGTATGCGCGCCAAGTGAGTCACTAAACCGCGATTTATGGACATGTGATGATAGTTTCAGTAGAATATTTCAGGGTTAGTCAGTGGTAAAATAATGGTAATGCTCCAAGGCAGTCCAATTCGGCGTCAATAGGAAAATATCGTTGGAATGAAAGTGTGTTATTTAATATGAAAAAGGCAGCAAAATAACTGATAATGAGACTCATCGGCTCCATAAATAAAAGTCGCATATGAATGTTGCCAATTTGTGATTTGAGCAGTGAAATTTGGCCTATTTCTTTCTTTCTTTCATATGTATTTAGAATTTAAAAATATTTTGTGACCAGTATATTTGTTGAAATTTTGAGACTGAGTTCTCCCTGAAAAAGGTTTTAAAATTGCTCCTCCCAATTAAATGCCCCGCCTATTTAATCTTGACCTTCCAATTCGCTTTCCTTGAACGAAAAGTCTTTTGTTTTTATTTTCATCTCTCACGAGAGCAAGAAGACACAAAGAAAAGAGCAAATGTGTTACATAAATACTATTAATATTTTTCATTGAACACCTTCTTCGTTTGTATTGCGCGATTTTGGTCAAATTTTGGAGGCAAAATTCTCATCACGTAGGGACTTCACAGGTTTTTCGCACCTTCGAAACCTCTCAGCGGCGCGATGAGTCACGTCAACAAAAAAAAAGTGCCCAAAATTCCCCTCTTCTCGCAGGCTTTTCCGGCTGCTCCGCGGGCTTTTCACACGCACTGTCACTGGAGAGTTACGGAATGCGAGGGAGAGTGTCTATTAATAGTCGTGCGGGCAGGAAAAAGATGATGAAAAGTAGCGCTTTTGTGCGTGAAATAGAGCCGCTTTGCAGACGCACTTTTCCGTGGGAAAATCTTCGCGGTCACCACTGTTTTGCAGCGCGGCGCGATCGCTTGGGGATTGCCCCAGCTGTGGAGAGAGAGCTGGTGGGATTTGCAACACTTACTAGGAGGGAAACGTTCAAAATAACAGCCGGTGAAATCAGTCCAGCGGAACAAGCATATCGCACACTGATGAGGTGTCAAACACTCCAACGGATTGGGGAAACCTGACAGTTACCGCTAAACTGCTAGAAAATGGAAGTCTGCCAAAATCGTTGTTTTTGTTGACATTCCTCTGCAAAGATGATCTACAATTTCTACATATTCGATAAGCAAGGCAATCTCCTGTACTACCAAGAATGGACGAGACTCAAGCAATCAGGAATTACGTGCGAAGAGGTGAGGAAAGTTATGGTGAAGCTGGGAAAAAGGCTAATGTGATTTGTTTGGCAGGAGGCAAAATTGATGTACGGAATGATTTACTCAATGAAGTCTTTCGTGAATAAAATCTCACCCACGGACATGAAAGACGGCTACATGCACTACAAGACCAACAAGAATGCCCTGCACATCCTAGAGACCTCCTCAGGACTCAAGTAAGTTCAGTTAGACGGGAATCTGCGTGTCCAGAAGGGGATTCAGCGCCGTTATCTTGAAAATCCCTTTTTCTTTGCAGATTCGTCATGAACACTGACACAGCTTCGACGGGCATTAAGGAGTTCATGAATCAGTTTTACTTGAAGGTAGAGAGTATTATTGTATTTCGTACAAAAGTAATAGAGAGCTAATGTGAGGCGTTTCCTCAGATATGGCTGGAGTACGTTGTGAAGAATCCCTTCTGCCTACCGGAGAAGCCTATCGCGTCTGAGTTGTTTAAGGCCAAGTGCGACGAGTTCATCAAGCAATCGGCTTTCTACGGTGGCATCAAGAGCATCTAGGCTGAGTATCTCTGTGATATCCACTCCTTGATCGTGCTGAGGTGCATCTGGCGAGCCACAGTCACGGATTGGGGATCCTGAAAGGGCGGAATGTGAAATGATTCGAGCAGGAGAATAAAGGAGAGACATACAAGCAACTTACTTTGGGATCCTTGGCTCGCAGATCAATATGATGCGCTCCTTCCGGGATGATGACAATCTTAATGCGACTGTTGGGCGTCCTCAGAACTCCGGCACCACTCCAGGGATCCAACAAGCCGTTGCTGAACACAATGTTCGTGGCTGTTTCAATTTGATTCCCACCATAGCGAGTCACCATTTCGATTTCACTGCGAGGACGCACGCCAAGTCGCTGAAAGCAGTCGTCGGAGAACTTCTTGTAATCCCATTTCTCGGGCTCGAACATGTCGTCCTTCCCATTCGAGCACATGGGCATTACCATCTCAGTGCAGGACTGGAAATCCCATCCGCGCGTGTCTAGAGAGTTAGTGGTGGATTGCTTAACATTCAAGCAGGGCACTTTCCCTGTGTAGTTCGCATACACGGACACTGCACTGGCCAGATACTCCAACAATTGAGTGTCGTTTAAATTGCCACCCTTCAGACGCCAGCAGAACTCCCTCACTGGATAAGCGGGCAGTGGAGCCAAGAAGTTGGCCGGATAAGGATAGTTTGCCATTGCCAAATTGCTGTACATATCCGTAAGGTAATCCTTGAGATCCTTGATGTCGTCTTGCTTTGTAAGATTCGCGCAGAGATTGAATTTCCTAGTGAGGAAAGCTCTACCGTCTTCCGTCTCGGCGCGACTCTTGAGCACCGCCCAGGACTTGCGGATGTTGTCCGAGCAGTCCTTGCTGTATGCCGTGGCGTAAACGGAAGTGAGAATCCTATTGTAGACTTCGCAAGGCGTGATGTCAGTGAACTGCAGGATCGGAGCTGAGGCTGCAATTGCGCCCAAAACCATGTGCGGATACTTCATGCGGAACCACGCAGCCAACATTCCCCCATAAGAGCCTCCAATTGCGATTACTGGGCGCCTGTTGTCCTTGTTGATCTCCTGCAGGAGCGAAGCAAAGTCCGCAAGTGCCTGTTCGGACGATAAGTAACCCAGTTGCTTCGCAGAATCGTAGGATTTGTTGCCATACGGTAGGGATTTTCCATAATATCTGCGAGTAGAACAATATAACACTCAATTATCTGCTATTGCAAAATGCCCGACCCTTCTGACCTGTGCTCGGCAAATATGAGCTCAGCATTGAGTCCATTACTCCGGTCCATGACGGCGTCCCACATGAATCCCGTGTTCTGGGCGAATAGCTCAATATCGCCTTCATTGCCGGCGTAGAAAAGGATCGCAGCGGTGTCTGGTTCGAAGGCGAAGGAGTCGTTCTTGAGGTATCTTAAGCAGACGACAGGAAAGTCACAAGGAGCATGAGGTCAAAACGCCGGAGTTCTCAACTCACCTCATCTTGAAAGTATCATTGTTGGCGAAACCGAAGTGGTCCACGGGCACCTCGAGCCACTTAGTGGCGTAAGTGTAGCCAGCGAGGCCCCCATGAATGCCGTACAGAGCCAAAATCACGAAAAAGAGGAGGAAACGAAGTGAACCCATTTGAATCGACACCATTGCTGCACTGACACAACTGCTAGAAAACAGCTGACGCGCAGCATTGATTAAAGGGGCGTTAATGGGTTAAAGGGCTGCAATCTGGAGATCTGAGTCGAAATTTTTTGAGCGGCGGAAGATTCTTATTTTGTTATACTTGCTATTTATTGCCTTTATTATAAGCATTATAAGTTATTATTGTTATTTGGGATTTATATGCACAACTTTCAATGCTTTTTGAGTCCGCGCAACCTGTTTGACTTCAAAATTAGCCTTAAGTCCTTTAAATCTGACATGTGCCATTCAGTTTGACATCAAGAAGTCACAGAAAGCATCAGTGAAAAAACTTGTGGGAAATTCATCAAGCCTAGCGTATAATAACGATAAGAACGAAGAAAATCAATGGATTCCAAGCAGAACTCAATTTTAGCATTGGATGATGATTGTCTCTTCACCGTCTTCACTTATCTCAACATCTTGGACTTGATGGAGACGGAAAAAGTGTGTCAGAGATTCAAGAGTATTGCTGAGATGGTCTATAAAACCAAGCACAAGTTGGATTATGAAGTACTCTTGGAAGAAAAGTTAAAGAAGGCAGAGAGGACAAAGCAGATCGAGGATAATTTTACATTGGAAGATGTGGAGAATATTTCGCAGAGACTTGGACCCTATGTTCACACCTTGAATGCCTGCTCTCTGTATTTCCTCGACTCCTATTGTACGCTTCACGACATCCTAAAAGACTTCAGCAACTTGAGGCATTTGAATCTCACTAAATTCAAGCTCAATCAAAGGGACTTTCAACTCTTCAACAGGATTTTCGTAAACCTCAGAGTGATTCAACTTGAGGATTGTGATGTGACGGATGATATTGAAGTGTGTCTTCGAGAGGCAAAGCATCTAGAGAGTCTAGACCTGTCCTGTAACACTAAAATCACCGGAAAGTGTTTGACGGTGTTGCGGAACATTAAGCAGATCAACTTAGATTTTTGCTCAAAGCTCGAATTATCACATTTCACAGAATTCTGTGAGCTTAATCAGGGACTTCAAGGCATTAAGATTGATAGTTTCTTTCTCACAAATGATTTCTTCAGTGTGATTGCAACGCATCTGCAGAATCTCGAGAGGGTTAGGATCGTGGATTTAAACACCAACCAAAACATTGACCTCGCCATTCTGGGAGATTTGCCAGGCTTAAAAGTTCTGGAATTCCTGAACTTCCAAGAGTTCAACATGGATTCCTGCCTGCTAAAGCTAGCTGTCTGGAATACACTGGAACATCTCTCAATCTGTTCATCTCACTTCACGCAAAGACTTTTGCGTGCACTATGTTCCTTCACAAAGTTGAAAGTACTGAAGATCAAATGGAACCAAGAGATAAATGATGCAAATCTGATTCAGATGTCTTTGTCTGAAAATTTCCAGAGTCTCCAAGAGTTTGAAATTTACTATTGCCATCAGATAACCGATAACGGCATTGTTGAGTTTATCAGGAATTGCCGAGAGCTGACACAAGTCGAGCTAGATCTGGAATATAACATGATATGCAATGTTATCAAGCGGATATTGCCATTCCTCAATGAAAGAAAATCAATATTGACCATTATAGTATCAAAACGTCTGTTAAAAAAGATTCCTCTGCATATGCGGGATCAAATGTGCAACCCAAAAATAAAGGTGATTGATTCGTGTGGTCAATCCTTTTAGAGAGAAACGCGGGCTGAAAATATTGAATAAAATCTTGAATTCCTACAAAAATATTCTTTGTGCTTAAAAATAACTACTAATCGTTGCCGATTTCTCAGCACTTCGCACTACGGAAAGCGCCTTTCTCAACAAATCGAATTTATTCATCTGAATCATCTGAATGGCATTGTCTTGCAGTGCAGTCAAGAGGCAAACTGGATCTCTAAATTACAATAAAATACAAGCATTTGCCCATGATGAGGGCGAGCGGCAAAGACGCCGAGACTAGTTGAACCAGACATTGTCCGGCACGAGATTCATGGCGCCCAAGAAGATTCCCATCGGCGTACGCTTCAGCTGTGCCGCCCCGAACGTGTTCACCGCCTTGCTCTTTGTGTTCCGCAGGCGCAGAGACGCGTGCACGAAGATCACTGCAAAAAAACGAGGAATTCTAAGTAAAGAATTCTGTAATGGGTTAACGTGATTGTGAATCAGCAACTTCGCCTTGAGATGACGACATCCACCGCCCACAGTAATGATCTCACCTGAGAAGGGTAGGAGCGCGGTGAGCATGACGAAGAGGATGAGCTCGAGCAGGAAAAGGATCAAGACGGCCACGAGCGCAGCGCCAGCGAGGATTCTTTGGGCACCACCAAGGGCGTCACCGTGGCGCATGGCGACTATCTTGGCGCCTCCTGCAGTGCCCACAGCCACCAGGGCAGCCTGCAGGAAGTCGCGTGGGTTGAGCAGGAGCAGCAGGAGCCAGAGCACCGCGGCGGAGCAGAAGTAATTGGTCTGATAGTACAGCAGGTTCTTCACGACGCGATTTCCCCACTTCTCCAGGTCGTTGACGCTGGGCAGGCCGAAGGAGGCGCTGGAGAGCAGGAAGTCATTGAGATCTCGCAGTGGGGCGAAGTTGAATTCACTCATTCTGGACGCAGCACACTCCAAAATCCAAAATATCCCCTAAAATCGCGCAGGAAATCACATGTCACTTTGCCACACAATGGCCGACTGACATGCTGTCAGTCGAGCTGTCAGCGCGCGACCAAAACAATGGTGGACATCTTGCAAGTGCGTCGAATCAGTGCAGGAATTCTTTTCTAATTGCAAAATCCAGGACATTGAGCTGGAGGAGGTGGTGAAAAATAGCCCAAGTGGAGTGTAGAGAGTGCCAGGCAAACGGAATGGGTGTGTAGTCGCCCATCTGGATGCTGTGGGGGCTGCTGCTGTTGGCGTTGGCTGGGGCCTCGGACCCCTGCCCCAGCCAGTGCGCCTGCCTCGGCGTCTACGTAGACTGCGGCAAGAGGGGTCTCCAGGACGCCCCGCGATTGCCTAATTGGATGGAGACACTGTGAGTACGGTGTTGTTTCGCACTCTGACTGGTTATCTAATCGCTTATCTGTGCAGGGAGTTGTCGGGCAATCGACTAGGAGACTCTGTGACGTTGCAGGTGGCCAATCTGTCCACCCTGCGCGAATTGAAGCTAAACAAGAACCGTCTGCAGCACATTCCCCTGTTCGAGGGGCTTCACCATCTCACGGCACTTTCCCTGAGTCACAATCGCATTGAGATGGTGGACGCGGAGGCGTTGGAGCGCCTACCGAAGCTGCAACACTTGGATATCAGCCGGAACCTCATCACCCACCTGCCCAGGGACACGTTCCCGACCGCTTCACGTATCCGCAGTCTCAATCTCAACTACAATGCTATTGAGAGGTGAATTATTCTGCACTGTCAATTCTTATATATATATTTTCTAACATTCTGTCTCTTCTCAGTGTTCACGGGCGTGCTCTGGAACCTCTGCGACATCTCACGGAGCTCAAGATGAACGGAAATCGACTCACGGTGATCGAGCATGACACTTTTGCTCATCTCTCGAGTCTCCGGAAGCTGCAAATCACAGATAACAAACTGGAAGTGATCCAGGCACTGACGTTCAGGAACTTGGTGCACCTGAGAACGCTGAGGATGCGTCGCAATCGCATTCACACACTGATGGACGGGGCATTTCACGGCTGCGTGAGCCTCACTTCGCTGGAACTGGACGAGAATGGCATCGGAAGTGTGAGCAAGCGGTGGCTGTTCAATCTCACCAGTCTTGCACACTTGTCTGTGTCGCGGAATCGCGTGAGTGAGATTGAGGCCGACGCGTGGGAGTTCGTGGGACACCTGGAGGGGCTCGATCTCTCCGGGAATCGCCTGTTGGGTATCGCGAGAGCCACACTGGCGGGCTTGGGTGATCTTAAGCGCTTGTCTGTACGTGATAATCGGCTCAGCGCTGTGGAGGAGGGCGCTTTTGGGGCCACGCCGCGGCTGCAAAGCCTCGATCTCAGTGGCAACGAGATCTCGTGGGCCGTGGAGGACATGAATGCTCCCTTTGGGGCTCTTCATCACCTCAGGAGCCTTCATTTAGCGGCTAATCGCATTAAGAGCGTGAGCGAGAAGGCTTTCCTGGGCCTCAACGCTCTACAGCGTCTCGATCTCACCGGAAACAACCTCACGAGTCTTCACAGTGAATCACTGGATCCCATGCCAGGGCTTAGGGATCTGCTGATCAACACAACGAGTCTGCTGTGCGACTGCCACCTGCAGTGGCTGACACAGTGGATTGAAGAGCATCCAAATGTGCTCAAGGGTGATGCAGTGTGTAATTTCCCAGTGGAGCTGCGCCACAAGACGCTCGGTGAACTGCTGACGGAGAATCTGACTTGCAGTGACACTCCGAGGCCGGCCATTCTCAGTCCACCGGCTGCCCAGATGGCGATTAAGGGTAGCAACGTGACGCTGGAGTGCCGCGCCACCGCTTCAGCGCCGATGGTCTTCCAGTGGCGGAAGGACAATGTAGAGTTGAGTGCCATTTATGAGCGCAGCGAAGAAGTGAACGCCACTGAGGCTACTTCGCGTGTGCATTTGAAGAATGTGTCCCAGGAGCACGCGGGGCGCTACCAATGTGCCGTTGGAAATGCCTTTGGTGTCACCTACAGTGCCAAAAACCTTCTAGCAGTGGGCAGTAAGTATACTGAGTGAATAATTAGAGGAGAAGTCCTGATTGTCGTTTGTCTTCCAGTCTTGCCTGTGTTCCTGAAAGTGCCCTCAAATGTGACTGTGGCGGCCGGAGCGACGGCAAGGCTGAATTGCGGCGCCACAGGTGATCCGAAGCCGCAGATATCGTGGCAGAAAGACGGTGGGAATGACTTTCCGGCGGCCAGAGAGCGTCGAATGCATGTCATGACGGAGGATGATGCATTTTTCATCATCCACGCTAAGACGAGCGACCAGGGCGTCTACACGTGCACAGCTGAGAACTCTGTGGGAGTCATGAAGGTGAGAGTTGGCATCTTAATGATTCCTCTAACGTGACTCTCCTTGCTGATGATTCCTTGCTCTTCCAGGTCAATGCCACACTCTTGGTCCAAGAGGCGCCATCCTTCGTGCGCCCGATGGAGAGCAAGGAAGTGTCCGTGGGCGCGGCTAGTGTGCTGGAGTGTCTGGCCGGCGGATCGCCCAAGCCAATGCTGCGGTGGACTAAAGACGGTGCCCCCATCGACCCCACGGAACGTCATTTCTTCGCCGCCGAGGAGCAGCTCCTCATCATCGTGGCCACGCAAGCGGCGGACGCAGGAGCGTATGAGTGCGAGATTCGCAATGAGCTGGGCGTGGCGATTGGAGGAGCGCGTCTCAGTGTCATCGCGGCTCCGCGGGCCGCCACAACCGTGAACGACATCGTGGGAATCGTGGTGATCACGGTAGTATTGTGCGCCGTTGTAACGTCGATTGTGTGGGTGGCGATCATCTACAAGACGAAGCGCACCGCGGAACCAGAGTCGGCGATCCCCAGTGAACTGCCGCCGCCGCCGAGTGCTCCCGATGACTTCCTGGTAGTGAACATCCAAGTGAACCAGCTGCAACGCATGCTGGATGAGCCTTCAGAGGCACCACAGAGTAGCTAAAGTAAAATGTACGAAAAATGACTGATGTTCTTGTATGAGAAGAACTATACAATAAAGAAAATTAATGTATTTCACGATGCTGCGATGTTCTTTATCTGATCGAGGAAAAGAGTCTGGATTTCTTCCAGACACACTCTTAAAAATATTAAAGAATGTTTATTGCATTACTTTTCGTTACAGTACAATGTTGCACATCTTACTGCATAAATTAATTGACGAGAGTCGTTACAATTGAAGAAACTACTTCAAGAGAGTCCCATGGAGAGTTCCAGGGAAGTGTTTTCATGCCCACAACACGTAACAATTCTGTGAAACAATCCATCCGGCTGTTCGGGACACTCTTGAGGTGCGAATTCGCATTTATATGTAGAGTTGGTGTGAGAGAAGAAAGTCCACCACCGAATTAGTTGCTACAAAGTCTGGATTCTGTCTGCCAACTCTGGAGGAGGAGAGGCGGAAGCGCGTCTCATCCTCGTGTGCGTGGAGAATCGCAGGCGACATTAGGGAGCAACTCCGCGGACTGACTGTTGGGAGTTGCTCAGTAACATCTCAATCCCTAAGGCCTATCCTATAATCTACTCTGGCTATCACTAAAGTGACTCTGTGGGCCCTGCGCTCGCTGGGCACTAGAATTCGTTGCTGGGGAGTCTTTCGTGGCACCTGAAGATGTCTCGGCAGTTTTAACTGCTGTGCGAGAAGGCCGTGTTGGTGTACGGGCCGCTGTAGATCGAGCTGCCCGAGTTGGAGATGGTCTTTCCGCGCCGCCTGGCCATGATGATCAGCACGGCCGCGATCACGGCTAGCATGAGGATCAGGCCAGCCACAGCAATGGCGATCGCGAAGTTTCTCTGAGATACGCAAATGGCATCGTCGGGAGTCTGAGAAAAGGATGAATGGGTGTTAAAGCGAACTCAAGAAAGTGGTCATCAGACGAATCTTCCACAACGATTAAATCAGGCTTACCTTTTCTTTAAGAACCTCATCATCTCCGTCGATCACTTCGGCGTTCTCGTTCACATACAGCCCGGAGTACACTTCAATGGTGGCCGGATGACCCTCATCGTCTTCCGCTTTGCCTTCCGCCTGTCTCTTGGGTCTTCTGGAGTCACAAGTTGGGGACTTCTTGCAGTCTGGATCCGCCAGCGCGCACAGGCGAACGTTGCATTGATAGTAGACAGAGGCAGTGTAGGGAAACTTGTGCGCAGGGAAGGTGACTTTGGCGCTGGAGCGATCGGAAGAGTACTCAAAGGGTCCCATGATCTCTCCATCAGTTGGACATCCATCCGATCCCACGAGGCGCTGTTCACCCCAACCCAAGCCATCTCTCACTAAGCAGTCCGTCACGTGAAGTCCGTAGACGTCTTGCTGGTCGATGTTGATGATTACAGTGAGAGGATCGCCAATCTTCACGTTCTCAGCAATACTGCCGCCTGAGAAGATCTTCATGTGGCATCCTGGCATGGGGATTTCGTTTCTGGACCTTTATAGAGAGGGAAAAAGAGAGGGAGAAAAATCGTCAAATATCTTATAAGACTTAAGATTTGGATTTAAAATTTTGGAAGCTAATTAACATAATTCGCTATAGTTAAAACTTTCTCTCAAAACAGTTGTCTTATGTGATACCTACTTAGAGGTAAGGCAGAATCTTAACACGAGAGCAACAAAATGTGAACATAAGTCGAAATCAATCCGAAATCATGACTTACTCTTCCCCATTGTCCAGCGAGCGTCCATAGTGGCTCCGGTCGGCGATCTCGTCACTGGTGAATGCCTGAGGATTGGCCAATTTGGCTGCGATTGTGGGCTTCGTGGCAGCTTCTCTGCTCTTGTAGCGACAGCGGACATGATAGCCTCGTCCCAGGTCGGTGACCAACTTCAAATGCGGCTGCAGCACAATGGTATTGAAGAACTCAATACCACCGTCGTCCTACAAGAGAAGAGGCCAGAGAGAACAAATGGATGAGACATGCCAAGTTCAAAGACACTCGAGAACTGTGCACAAGGCAGAATTCAGATTGGGGAATACCAAATGCGTGGGGCTTCAAAGTTTCAGTGAAACTTTCGCCAAATGAATTTGCAATTGAGTTTCCTTTCTACACACAACCAATCTTCAGTGTATAAATGTTTAATATTAATAATAATATCCCCTTCAATTTCTATAGAGCAATCTCTTGCGATCACCGATCTTCCTCTTGCGCGCACAGTTCATCATAAGCCCACATAATGAGCGTTAAATCACCATTTAGGCTCCTACACTAAGTCAATTGCCTTCTTTGCACAATTTTAAGGGAGCCTCGGCAATTATCTTGGAGAGTTCAGTCATGAAACGAGCGCGATCTCATGATGGCACGAAGGAAACTGAAAGTGTTACGTGGCAATGAGTGATCACTTGAGAAATTTGTACCTGCTTCTCGGCTAAATTTGTAATTACAACACTGCAATTCACAATTATTGATGGCATGGGAAATTTCTAAGAGCACATTCATGAATCGCTTTTTGCCGATGGGCAAGAGAATGAAGTGTGAATACTTGGTTTTTTCTGCCAATTTTCAATGCCACGATCATCAGGTGATAGTGGTGAAATGAAAGGTGTTTCGCCGGTGGAAAAGCCAGTTTATGAGTGATAATTTTGTATTTCCCTTCCGATAATCTCTCTCTCGCTCTCTTCAGCCGTACAGTCACTCTTTGGATGCAGCAAGAAAGTGAAATTTCCATGTATCACGGAAAGATAGTCATTAGGCTTGCATATCTCTCAAATGACTGGTGATCGTGATGATTTCATTTTAAACGCTAGAGTGATCTTCACGGAAAGATTAAACCTTGAATTTTCATCCAAACAGAGAACTTTTTGATGTATAAATTCTACAAGTTTACGAGTTCAGGAAGACGGCAACAGTTAGACCAGAGAACAACTGACTAAGGCCTTCCACACATCGCCTCAGTGGGTTTCATTACTTAATTTTCAGCATAGCTCAGATTCATTAAATTGCAAATACATTAAATTTGCCGTCACGTGCCTCGAGAGAAGCAACAACTACGGCGACAAACACTCTGCAATTTCCTCATGCAGAACCGAAACATGTTTATAAAAAATCACTTTATATTTGTACAAGAATTATTCAATTATCCCAGCCATTTAGCAGGCTTATAACAGCGTTAAAATGTGAACAATGCAGAGTGTAATTAAGTGTGCGTGAATAGGATATCAAGTCAAGGTTGACGGCCATCCGAAGATTCTCCTGACAGTGAATAAATAACGTATGTATGCAAATTCCCGATCAGCCTTGGACAGTGAAGATGAGACCTAATTGTTGTGATGCCATGTTCGCATATGCGATCTTCGCCTACAATGAAAAATTCCCAGATTTTACATAACAGTTCCCAAGAGAGATTGACTAATGTTTTCGTGGGTGTTTTTCGGTCATTGCAAATGAGCTTCGGTGAGAAAAAAAGAATGATAAACGAACATTTCACATAGGTTTTTGAAATCAAAGAATGTTTTATCAATATTTTTGCATTTTTGCCTCGAATTTAGCTTTTTTTATCTTAATACTTCGAAAAAAATTGTTTCAAAGTGTTTTGAGGACAGATTCACTGGTTTTCATGATTTTCTATCTCTAATTAAGTTAATTTTTTTTATTTAAAATACACAATCACGATGAATATTCATGTGAAAATATTTAAAAATGGACCTATCAATCGAAGGGGTGGAGCTTCAGATAATTGTTTCTTTGCCCCAATTTTTGTCACTAGGAGTGGATAACTGTGCATTCGCACAATTTGTTAGTATTCTGATTATGTAATGAAATCAAAGGTCAATGGATTCTCATTTGACTAACACCTTCTTTAATGGTTTTTACCACAAAAGCAAAACCAATCTTCACTCAAGAACATCTCACCATGCAAATTTTTGTTATTAAATTGAGCTTCTAATTTTGGAAACTCGTCTCCTTGAGTGATATTCATCACATGAAGATGGTCACTCAATTCATCGACCTTGCATAGGAATAATTTGACGTCCCACAGGACTTCTTAATCCACACGAAACCCACCCGCTTTCGGCTCTTCTTTCTCATCCACCTACGCGCACACACCGCGAAAGGTGACACCAGCCTTAAAGAGCAGAGCCATAAAAAATGTCGTAATGCTAATAGAGACGCATTTATGGGAAAATTAAATATTTCACTCTGTGAAGGTGACAAACTTTTGATTTCTTCACGAGAAGAGCAAACAGAAGAGGAGGACAGTATGATTCAGAGATGGAGTAAACTTACGTTTTCTTGTGGCATCGTATTGCAGCTCCGCAGTGGTAGTTTGTATTTAAGTGGCCCGTCGTGATTTCTGGAAAGTGAGACAGAGAGACATTGGACGTGAGATATGAATTTATGATCACTAAATGTGCGAAAAAGCAATTAAAGTTCTCAAATACAAGCGCAGAATTTCACTTTTACACTCGCGCGCCCGCATTTCTCGCTGAATTCATGAATGCTCATTATCAGTTGACAGGCAATTGTGCTGGAAAGTGATTGATGAGTGCGCGAACATACCTGTATTCCGATAGGCATGATGAGTTCTTCGACAGTCCCTTCGGGTAAATCATGCCAGTGAAGAGACCATCAGTATTGGGCGGAGGATCTTTGACTGTGATGATCATTGAACCCATGAGACACTGGATCCGAACTGTGGGCTCTCTGTCCATTATGAGAGGTTCTGTCGGACAAAGACAAGCCATTAATTAGTTCCGCAACGTCATTCTGCCACTGCTGACTTAGAAAACCAGCCATTTTTGCTTGGACGTGACTCATGCAAAGATGATTTAAGCCCACAACTGAAAGGTACTAATTTTACCAACTGCAGTGCTGCAGCTACAACTTGTACAATTTGTACTCGGTTGGAGTGGCAATTTCAGGCAGGGGCTCAATATCGCGTTATGCAAAGTCAGAGTGTATGTGACTATTAAAGCTGTGCTAAGGTGCTGACTTTTCTGCAGTCAGTGTCTCAGAAAATTGATATTTGCGGAGACATATTTATCATTTTTCCATCAACAGAGAGATTACACTTGAATTTCTATCTCGAAAATTTAATAAATCTCGTGAATTATGATGAGTTGAACACCCCCTAACTCTATGGGACATTTAAGCGAAATTGATCTTTTAAGAGATCTCAACACAATTCCATCCTCATGACTTTGCATCTGCAAATTGCCATGGCTGCTCATGTAGATTGTCTTGTGGTCAGCCGAAAGTGCATTAAAGCACTCTCAATATCGCCCGGTTTGATACTCACTTATTGTGGGTGGCAGTTGTGCTGTCTGTGTGAAAGTGGCGATTGTCTGGAAAGAAAGTTACACAAAAGGAGGTGATTAAGTGATGTTAAAGAAATTGCTGAAAAATGCCTTAATGGGATTTCATATGAGATGTCCAATTTCCTAGCGCGCAATTTCTTCTCGCATACAAAAAGTTCATTTGAGAGTGAGAATTCATATAATTGAGTGACAAAAAGAGATGTGAAGAATGATTTAACTTGTGTTCTCATGCAAATTTATTCACCATCTCCATAACTTTCATTTGGTAGTTTTAAATTGTTCTTCACGAGCAATTTAGATGAAAAGAGACATCCAAATAATAGGTGTATCTTTTGCGTCGAAATGATAAATTGTTCCCAAAAAGCCCCTATTTTGTCATGGGGGAAAATTGTGTAAGTCGTTTGTGCGCTTTTCATTTTTCATCAATTACAAGACCCGAATTTGCCTACAACAAAAAGATCATTCAAGTCACGACGATCCACGAAGAAGGTAAATAAGGAAAAAGTGATCGACCGTACAAAAAAGGTAGTCTCAAATGTTACTCAACCGAAAATCTCTTTTTATTAACCTCCGCGATGGTACGTGAAGAAAAAGTCACGAGAAAGAACAATTGTGAGGTGAAAAAACCACACCGTTGCGGAGTGTCAATAAGAATTTGTAAATTATGTGACAAATGGCAAGACGGTCAATTCTCACTGTTTTACAAGGTAAATTCAACCACAAGTGAATTGCATTGCGGAGAAATTGGCAACGTCCAGGCGATGATGGATCTTTGCACCTCATCTCACAAGACGCTTTGTTATACAATTGCGCGAGCCACTCAACAGTGAATTTCATCCGAGACGAAGTCTCATGAAATCCGTCTTTCGCCGTTTCAATCTAATCGCAAATATGTACACATCATAATCGCTCTTGCCAAGAGATTGCCATAGTGAATGGGATGAAATTGATGAAATCTCACCTCTTGAGCTCTTTTGCGCGCATTTTTTTTTCACATTTTCCTCTCTTCTGTGGCAGGCCTTGGCGATAGTATTTAGGCAGATTTTAAAAGCTGGGATTTACTTTTGGAATTCCATCAATGATTCAATATTTTACTTGGAAATTATCGCGTATTGGGATGGAATATAGGTATGTGGAATGCGACAAAAATATCGTGAATTTTCAAAATTTTCTAAATAAAGCAATAAATTTGCATTTCAATTAATTGTCTGGATTTGTTAAATAAACATTCTGGCAAACACTGCAATTTTCCACAGTGATTGCTCAAATTCCAATTGTTATTCGGCTGAGGTAGAAAAAAATCTCTTACAAAATCGTTCAGCTGTTCTTGCGCGAATTGATCCAATATGACGAGGTGAATAATTTGACGGCGCATCATCTGGCAAAGTCACACGAACTTGTGCAATTGTGCGATATCTTTCGCCGCCAGTAATTATCTCTTAAAGGCATTTTTCAAGTGCTCTCCATTGAGCAATTCAGTCGTGTGAATGTGCAAAAGCGGCATTTTTGCCCATCAACGGCTTCATGGAAAATCCCGCAGTGGGAGACACACGGAAAATTGTACTTACGATTAATTGAAATACTGCATAGTAACTAAAAGCCGTAAGCGCCATAATTGCTGAAAGAGAGACAAGAAAAGGCAGCGTTAGTGATCTGAAAATCAACTTTGAGAGGGTGTGGCGAATGGAAAACAAACACACGCGGAGAGCTTTCATTTTGCATAACACTCTCTTAAGCTCCAGTTGAAATGAGACATTTGGCCTTTCTGCCGCTCGAATCTAATGTAGGTACAATCACTTTGAGAAAAATTGCGCGTATGAAATTGGAGAACGAGAGAGGCTTATAAAGTCTTAGCCATGGCATGCGGTTCAGTTACACATTCGCTGAATTGGCCTAATGCGACGTAATCGATGTTGAATTATCTCTGGAAGACAAATTAAGCGCATAGCTTAGAAGACATCTTGGAGATTCTTGGCAGAATCTCTGGTACAAACAAGATTTGCCCCTCTAACCATAATTGGCTTCCACTCACACTTGCAATTTCCCACATTTGTGGTTAAATGTCGACTTTTGTGGTTAATCACTATCCTTAAAGATAGTCTTATATTCCCTCAATCGCGCTGTATTAACGGAATGAGCGCGAATGTAATCTCTTTGTTCTCCTCATCTGTGCCACGCAATCGCTCTCCCGTAATTAGAATCAAACATGGGCATAAGATTAGAGAGAAATAGGGAATGCCTTCTAACGATGAGAACATTCCCGCGAGCCCTCGAAGATTTCCCGGCGACGATTTGAATGCGCGGAAGACTCGCGAGAGTCTCTTCGCCGCACAGAAATCCACAACAAAAGTGTACGTGAACTGTCAATGACTCGTGGAGGCCTGGGGAAGAGTCCCGTTAGGTTCCAGGTGAGTCGCGGCGCAGCAACTTCTTGGCCGATGAGATTCCATGGCAATTATTCTCCCAAGAATTCTCAATCGCGATGTCTTATTGTTTAATCAATTGCCGCGCTTCCTCATTAAATCCTCGGAAGTAATTTGCAGAATATTGCTATAAATGCCCAATTATCTGCATAATATTCTTGGATTATAGCTGACATGAGAGAAAATCTGAGTGTTGTGGCATAAATCATGCAGTCACACTGTGGACATTGGCGACTTTATGGGTGACTTGAGGCCCATTTTAGGAAGTGGTCAGAGTCTCTCCCACAACTGGCTTTAGTGGCCGGACAACTTTTAATAATTGACATAATAAAGAAAATGGAATTACATTACATTCGATTTTTTTTACTATCATTTTCAACCCAAGTTGTTTGCTTATATCCTCAGTACTCTGAGTCATTTGTAAACGGTGGCAAATGCTAAACTTCGTAAATGTACATCTTTGATCGAACGGACCAGTTTAAATATTAGATCAGTGTTTCCGATTCCATAATTATAGTCTTCTCATCCTCTTAATTATAATATCTGTTTAGAAATAGTATGTAAGCTTCATCAACGGAAGTAAATTGCGTCTTCCTCTAATACTTTGTCTAAATAAAAAAACCTTTCCGCGATTGTTGTGTAATTTGTGATATTTTCACATAATCTGAAAGCGTGATCTTGAAAGAATTTATTAGCAAATTCTGTTCCCACTTCTCTAGAAATTCTTATTATAAGTCAAAGACTATATTTTTGGTCATAACGTTTAAGATTTATTTAAACTTTTTCTCTTGTCTCAGATGTTCTGGTTTTTAGATTAATTCAAACTAGGGTTTACTTATTTTTGCATATTATTATCTTAAAATTGCTCTTGACAAAAGCTCTGTCACGACATTTCATCAGACTTTCGTGCTCGTCCTTGATTCAGCATGCTTCAGCTCGATATCTCTGCGCCATCGCAAGTATGACAATCCAGAAGCGACATATGGTGCGTCTTTGCGTAACTTTTGCGAAATGTCGCGACTGGAAAATGAGGACTTGTCGCGGCGAAGTTGCATAAAAAAGCCAATAATAATAATTGAAAATCCCGCGACGCATAGAGAATCATTAATCGCCTCCGTGACGATGAGCTTTGTTGCTGACTCTCTTTCTATCGAAAGACTTCGATGCGAGGCGACGAACCCACGCTCTTGCTCGATTTGTCTCACTTTGTCATTTGAATATCTCGCCATGGGATGGCTTTTGAGGTGATTGTTTATCAGGTGAGGCCTCGTTTGCAATTCAATTGGGATCAATTGATGGGGAAAAGCATTGTTATTGTCACAGCTGCGCGTGTGCGGAGAACTTTTCACTAAAACACGTCTTCTGTGTGCTGAGTTACATCATTTTTCCAAGTGAAGAATCGTGTCTGTGTGTGGAAGCTCGGCAATTACACTGGCTTTTGTAGTTTAGGTTGAAGTATATAGAGAAAAAACGAGAGAATTATGTTAACGCGAGTGAGTTGGATTGAGTTTAACTGGCAGAAAATTCCATTCAATGCCAAATTCGACATCATCTCACAGATATTTTCAAGGTGTTCATGCTTTATCTCACTCATTCTTGACTTTTCCATGCTGCCTCTTGGCGATGGCAACATCATGGGAAGAAATAAAGAATTCTTATTGACCCGAATTGCCAGCGGATTCCCAATTCCAGCGATAATTACTTCGGAGACGATCATGAAAAACGCATTGAAATAAAAGAAACTTCAGCTTTTAATCCATCCATTATTAACATACAATTGAGCAAGTGACTAATGCATATGCAAGCTAAAGATTCACTCACGAGAAGCCACAAATTTATCGATGACGACATCACTTGTCTTCCTGAGAAGTTAATTTATGAAGAAATTCAATTAACAAGGAAGATTTTTTTTGCTATTTGACGAATACAAATTTCTTGAGTGGGTGTGCAAATCTTATGTCCGTTCCACGCAATTAAATGCTTAAAGAGAGTGAATATGCGAAAAAATTCACTCTGAGAGCTATTTTGAAGGTTACTTGTCTTAAAGTTGTTCAGATGAAACAGAAAACAGAGTATTTTGTGACATTTTTTGTGGGTGCGCGCGATTTAATGATTAACGGCGGGAATTTTTTGCCAGAAGTAAATGCCATTCTTTCACAATTTCCAGGCAAATATTTAGTTTACTAGACACAGACAAATTTCAGTTTGATTTAGCTGTTTAAATATTTTTTGGTCTTACTTCTAAACCACCTTGAGTCTCATTTCAAAAGGCGAGCAATAAAGTTCGAACCTCCGAGAAGTGTAGCTTTAACAGCTGCGTGCTAATGAATTACCTCAATTCTCGTATATCCAACAGTAATCCTAAGAGATGATTATAATGGACAAATCATAGGGCTATCACAGATTGTAAAACTAGCACTTAATCCACACACACACACACAAACTCTCTCGGTCAGCACTGGAAACTCCACTGAGATTTAGGTTTTCTGGTGTGCGGGAAAAGGTCGTTCTGAACTGCAACTTTGCGTTCGATGTCGAAAGAGCCAGAGATGAGACCGCCTATTTTACCACCCCAAGCGTCATTCTTTCAACAGTCACTCCCGGACGGATCTGCACTCGCGCATTTGGACACAGGAAGATTCGTTCAGTGGCACTGGAGGTTCTGGCTAAGATGGCTCCAAATCTCGCGCGCGATCACTCTCAGGCAACCGTCTCAGACTCTGGCTGCAACAGTACTGAGAAACACTCGTGATCGCACACAAGCTCAAGCGCGAGTCAACAAACCAACACAGATCGCGGCTGTTAGACTTATAGTGAAGGAGGAAATTTCAGTGAAACTTACATGATCGCGAAGTTTTAAAACACAAATCCTCGTGAAATCACGTTTCGGAGTTCGATGGCTTAGTGATAACTCTGTTCAGACTATTCAGATCTCAATTTCTATGCCGTTTGGAGAGAACGTGAAAATGCTAAATGTGCTCATTGATCGTTGTTCACATCGATTATTGCAATAAGATGAATTGTCATACTAAAAGTCAACTTTTGCATAAATCTAAAGTTGTGAGCAATGAAAGAATGCCATTTTTGCCTCATATTTATTAAGTGATCAAAGTGATTCGGTGATTGTTTCATGAAATATTCTCCTTGGCCAGACATTCACGAAATATTGCGCCCTCACTCGCAATCGCGCGTCACGAGAGGTGGGCAGACAGGAATACCTTGAGTGCTGCGCGAGGCATGAAATGCAAGATGATGTCCGTGAGTGGGAAAAGAACGAAAATACCTCAAACTCTCTGGCGTCAACGCCAAACTTGAGAGTCCAAACCATGGTAATTCTCTGCCTTTTCTTCGCGATGTGTGATCAAAAGAAAACAAGAGTTTGTACGGAAAACCTGTTCCTCTCTCGCGAGTGTTGCGTCTCAACATGCCCACACACCTTAAAGCGTGTGTGTGTGTTTTGCCAAGAATCGCTGGACGAAGAAGCGATTTGTAGGCGAACCTTTGTCCCATGATTCTGATCTTGAGAGGGATTCTGAGTGGGATGAAGAGCGCGGTTTCCCGGACACTGTATGGGATTTGTAGGAGTGTATTTGAATATGCCACGGAGGAATGAGTAATTGCATAGTGGAGAACATTAAATCACAAACACAACCACGATTAGAAATAATAAAAGAGTTGATTTAGAATTAGAATATCAGGGGGTTAATAATATTGACTAGAGAATCTTCCAAATCAAGACGTACGCGTCTGATTGAATTTAAATCGAGGTTCAGTGTTCTTTATGTCTTTTATTTGTAGAATATGGAGAAAGTCTTATGCAATTGACCCCCCGGCATTCTCGCCATACCATTGGAGTTGCATGTAAACGGATGTCGAGGCTTTGAATCTTAAATAATGTGGTGATCTCATCGAGACTCCGCGTGACTTCACTTGCCCCAGTCGAGAATCTTAGTGAACTCCCTCTCAGCGAAGTCAATCATCTTGGCCTCTTCCAGGCACACGATCTGCCTCTTCAGATTGTCCAGGAGCAGCAATTGCTGCTTGTACGCTCCGATGAGACTCAGCCTCTGCTTCCTCAGCGCCTTCACCTGCTTCTCGAATCCCTCCTTTTCCAGTCTCGAGCGCTCTCGCATTTCCTTCTCGCGCTCATAGGCACCGGTCAGACTTTGCTTCGTTCCCTCGTGATCCTCCTGGCTCTTCAGCAATCTCCTCTCCATGGTGCTCTTCTCCTGAGTCAAGCTCTTCACTTCCCGTCTCGCCATCTCGAGATCCCGACTCTGCTTTCCAAGATCAACGTCGCGATTCTTTAGCTTCAACTCCAATTCTTCATTCCTCACCTCCAACTTTTTCTGCTGGCTCTGCAGGGCATTCACTCGACTCGTAAGTTGATCCTTAACATTCTCCACTCCCTTCAGAGACTCCTGTAGAGCATGAATCTGCTCAGTATTCTTCAGATTCTCCTTCTGATGCGTGTCCACCTCATCTTGCAGAATAGACACTTTGGCTTTGAGGAACTTTATCAGTCCTTCAGAGCTCACATTCTTCCTGGCCAAGCGATCAGGGATGGTGGCTTCCGAAGAGGTCTTCTTGGGCGCGGGAAGCTCCACCTCACTCTCCAGCACTTCTTCAGGGACGTTCACCTCCTTGACGGGTTTCTTTGTCTCCTCACTCTTCTTCTTAACCACAGTCTTTCGATTGCCTTTGACCGCATTCTTCTCTGTCTTCTGCAGCACTGTCTTCGTCTTTGAGTTGATCTCCTCGTTGAGCTTCAGAAGCTCTTGCTCCTTCTGCAGGAACATATCAGCCATCTCAGGAAACCGAGCTTCCGATTTAATTCCTCGCCAGACAAGCACTGAAAGGAGTTGTTAGTAAATAAGCCTCGTGGGCATGGCAACATTATAGGTTTAACTCCTCATTGAAACGTTTATTTCAATGAAGGGGACATAAAAAATGTTATGCAACCACATTTGATTAATTAAGATTTTTGTGATTCTATATTTAATTAAATAATTGTATTATTCTGTTGTCGAGTTAGTTTCTCTCAGTGTCTATCAAATTATCACTTCAATGAACAATGCAATCTTATCAATTCCTCACAATTCTGGCGAATTGCTGACGATAAGAAGAAAAATTGGAGGAAGTGATAGTATTTCAGTGTGCGCTGCACAATGAGTGCGACAGGTTTGTGACGCTAAAATGCCTGTAAAGTCAATAAGTACTGCGGTTGTCCTATTTCTCTATTCAGCCTCTGTCGTGGCGGATAATTTCGTTTGCACAGATGAAGTTTGTCGGGTAATTGGAACTCTTTCTGGGCGAAGTGTCGTGAACTGAATATGTTTTCACTTTGCAGAGATACAGAGAGGAAACAGGATGCCCACTAATGGCTCTGGCATGCAGAGCGCAGAATTCTACTCACAATGGTAGAATATTCCCTTCTCCAGTATCGTGCAATTGTTGTGAGACTTGCATTGAGAATTTTGGTAAAGACATAACGAATTTACGCTGATCCTTTGTTCTATTATTGTGATTGATATTGCAGAGTTGGATGAGGATTGTACTTTGGGTTCACCAGGAGCCCCAATTCCTCATGGCATGTGTGGACCAGGATTGTCGTGTGCTTTTGATGACAATGATGAGCACACGACATGCCAGAAAAGTGAGTTGAATGTTTTATTCATGCACGAGAAGAAAAAAATTAAGTTAGAAAGAATATTACAGTGACCGACACCGATTGCCTCAGAGATCAGAGCTCATATGACACTGAGAGACTCAATGGTACAATTGGACATTTAATGCAAAGGACTCTATGTGATGCTGATGGAGGATTTTCACCTATAAAGTGCATTCCTGGGCAAATGTAGGGTTGGCAAGAATTCCTCAAAATCAAATAATTACCATGTCAATACGCTTTTAGATGCTATTGTGTGAACGATCAGGGCGAAAGGATCTTCGGAGAGTCTTTAAACTACCGCGGCATTGAGGTCGTGATGAAGTGTGAATGTTCCCGTCAAGAAGCAGTTATTAACACTGTTCTGGACACGGATATGAAAATCCCTTTTGTCAGATGCAATGAGACAGGATCTTTTGATAAACTCCAATGCATCAACGATCAATGTCTCTGCGTGGATCCTCATTTAGGCTTCCCAACGTCTAGTATAGTTAACATAACTGTTGACGGATTGCATTCGCTGCCTTGCTGTGAGAATCCTACGAACTTCTTAACTATAATTTCTATTACAAAAAAAATCCTTCTATTTCAGTTAATGAATCCGGATACAGTAATTCTTCCTACAATCGAGAGTGTGCGGAAAAGAAAGCTGTTCTCGTCCAGAAGCTCTACAAAAGAGCAAAAATGGGAATATATGCCGTTGATGAGAGTGAATCTTATGAAATGTGCCAACCTGATGGGTTTTTTGCCAGAATTCAGCGCAATGACACTCATAAGTTCTGTGCTGATAAATTTGGGATGAGCATACGCAACTACAATGCCGTATTAGGGTCAGAAGATGCAAACACAATGACGTGCAGTGAGTTGAAAATATTTTCTACTTACAAACCATTTTTGAAAGGCAAATTAGAAATAATTATTTACTGACTAAAGTGACTAATGTACTAATCACTGGAACGAAAAATTACCAAAAAATTTTGATTTTTTTTATCTCTGTACTTTCCAGATTGCGCCAGAGTTGAAATGTTGCTGAGAGAAATCGGAGCATTTGAGATTCCTTCTTGCTGTCCGAATGGGAACTATCCAAAAATGTCCTGCAGAAGAGGATTTTGCTACTGCACCGATGAGAATGGCAACCAAACAACCTCGGAGGTTCCACATGAGGAAATTACCACTTTAGAGTGCTATAATAAAGGATCATTCTGTTAATAAATGAAAATAATCGATGTTGCAAATGTTATGGGTCAAGATACTTTGTGATGTCAAGTTTCTCGTGTTCGATGGAGTGAAAGAAGTACCACGAGAACCTCTCGAGGGTGGAATTTCATCAATTAAATGTGGAAATCAGGGGGAGAATTTGCGTGGGCACTGCAAGGAAGCATGGCTTGGGTGTCTTAATTGAATTCCTCGTGATTGGAAAACCGTGTGTATGTCAACATGTGCGCCGCCAAAAAAGCTGCCTCGCCGTGACCTTTTTGCAAACACACTGCGAAAATTGTGATTGTAATTTAAAGTGGCACCTCCCATTATCACCTTTTATCACCGTCCTGGAGTGATTCAATTATCTCCCACAGCGTAAACAATCACTGGGAATCGCGCGCCCCTTCCATTGGACCTTAAAGATGTCCTCCTTTGCTCATGGCAAGGATTAAATATTTGTCCGGATAAATGACACCGCAGCCCGCCTAAGGGCTCTCCTTCCAGTAACTCAATAATTTAGAAACCTTTTAGAGACACTCTATTGACCACATAATTGAGTTTCTTTCTCATCCGGCGATTTTATGGCGTATTAATAGGAAAAATAATTGCTCTTGAGATTCAATTTACCCCAGAATAGAGACAATTGAGCCGAATATTCACCGGAATTTCATGCCAATTCCACTTCAGAGGTGTTTTCATGCATCATAATAATTATTGATTTATTTAAATGTGTAATAAATGCGATTTTTTTGCTGTTTCCGATGAAAAACAGGGACTTTCGAGAGTTATTGCTGCAAAGAGGAGAACAGAAGGAAGCAATTGAATATTGCATATTAAAACTTTGAAGTGAAATTAAAATTAAATCTTGTATTTTTCGTTTATATTTTTGAATGGAATTGATTTGGTTCATGTTATATTAGTCATGTTTGCTTAGAAACTGTTTATAGGTGTGAAATCTTAGTGTACAGTTCACTGAGGCCATTCTGTAGTCCGTGTAGCATCAAAATCCCAGGACGCAGGACGCTCAGTGCGCATTCCACCACACAAAGGAGCGAGTATAAAGCCAGGAAAATTCTGTGAAGAGCAACAGTTCGTATCCGATCATCCTGAGATTGACATTGAGATTGAGCAAGTTGAGTGACTAGTGAGCACAGAAGATGAGCCTAAGACTCCTCACACTCCTCGTGATAATCTGTGTGTTTTGCATTGCGATGCACTCCGCCGAGGGCACATACAGGAAGCCTCCATTCAACGGGAGCATCTTCGGGAAGCGGAACAGCATTGGGGACTACGATTCTGGAGGCAAGGCCTTGTCCGCGATGTGCGAGATAGCGCTGGAGGCGTGCGGAGCGTGGTTTCCGCAGGACAAAAAGTAACTCAACACGCCAATCAGGACTGCAAACACGGCTTTTCCATCATGTTCAAAAGAGGCACCAAAGTAAAATTTCACACGCAACATATTGTTAATAAAAATGAGGAAGAGAAAATGCTATTTAATCAAATTGTCTCCTTAAAACATAAGTTAGACTTCCGTTTTCGCCGTTGTGGCGCAAAAAAGAATAGAGAATGGAAGATATTCTATATAGAATTTACAAAAAAGTCCCTCTTCAATGCATTTTGTATTGCACTATATAAAGACATGAATAAACATAAATCTCATTCTGTTCTTCTTATGTAAATAGACTTTTCTGCATATTTGGATGGTCAGAGCTTCAATTTTTTCTTCATTTTTTGTCCTTCTTTCTTATGACTATTTGCAAATCACAATCGAATGTTCACACTAATGGTATATATATCAATAAAAATTGTCATTAAAATGTACAAGTAAAACTTTTCCCGGATTATTATTTGTTCTGGTTCTGGAGAAATTAATAAATACACAATTTGAGGCACTTAAACCTTCTGATTGGACATTTCCTCGCAGTGACAACGAAGATACTTCATGTAGTCTTGCATGAGAGTTGTGTAGGCCTGCAAGGAATCACCATTATCAGTTGATTCAGCAAAGACAACAAACGCAACAGTAAACTCACAGTCTCGAGGATGGATTTCGGGATATAACCCTTCAAATCGAGGCAGAGAAGCCACTCGAAAATGCAAGAATCCGCTTCTCCAGGTATTTCTCTCGTCACTATGCAAGATATCAGATTTTCGCCCCTGAAATATGAGATTGGCACATTAATTGTGTTCTCCTCTGCTCACACTTTGGAATCTCACCTCACGTATTTATTCGTCGCTGCGAAACCTGGGTATTCAACTGCAACGGCTGCACTCACGTACACTCTCAGAGCTCTGCTGGGCCAGTCTTGAGCGTCCTGGAATTTTGCCTCCTCTTCACAATTGTCCTGAGCCGACAAACTAGGCGACGTGCCGAAATCCCTGGCTCCCAGGCTCTTGCTTAACGCCATTGGAGCCCTCTTCTGATACCCTTCGTCCTCACTTTGTGGACTCTTTGGCGCCGGTTCGCTCTTCACCGAACTCTCGCCCTCTGACTGCTCCTGGACAGTGTCTAAGCGTCTTCTGGGATACAGTACAGCGCCCTCTTCTTCGTCCTGCACCATTCTGCCACCCTCGAAAGCTTCCCAGGAGCGCAAGTTGACGAAATCGCGGCTCTTGACGAAGCCTCCGCCGCCAGCGGCTGAGACTTGGTATGAAACGTCTGTGCGTGGGTCGATTCTGTGGATGACTCGCGACTCCAAGAGGGTGGGATTCCACTTGGGCATTTCCTCAATATTGCTGAAGAGATCCTCCACCAAGCTCTGCGCATTGCTATTCACGCGCCCCTGCAAAATTTTCAAGCGAAATCTCAAAATCTCATTCATGCGTAATCATGAAAGTTAGACTCATTTGAGGACAGAACAGAGTCTATAATGTTGGTGCAAATTCTATTAATATTTCAAAACCTATTCAGTCTTTTATGAAATAAGAACAAATATTTCCACTTCACTTTGTCGCAGTGATTTTAATACAATCATTCAATTACTTTAACACTTTCAATAGATTAAATATTGCGTAAAATCAAAGAGAATCACTAATTTTGAGTCGTTACTGTAGTGAGTTTGTGAGTGATTCCTTGCTGAATCATTGCTAAAATTCCGGGAGGAGTAAATAACTTTGAGAAATCCTATCTCTTTCCATATCAATAAGCAATATATTGGCAATAATGCTCTTCACGATGGAATCCTTGAACTTGAATAAATTAAACTTGAACCTTAATGGATTTGACTACCAAATATGCTCAACTTACCGTCAATTTGTAAATTTTTCCTAATCTATCACGCTTAATACTTTGAATAGTGTCTGAACTCGCTGTGACTTTCTCCAGTTCCCAATCTTGACTCTCAATCAGCTCGTAGGCCTTTTTCACACACTCCAGAGCCATCCTCTTGTACTCCTCGTCCTGAAACAGAAATCTTGGATTATTACGAGACATTCCTTGCGATTGACTCAATTGAAAAGCACTAACAAGACTGATTTCATTGCACAGAATCTTCTTCTTTCGCTGAGCAATTGAATATCAATCTTCTGGGTGATAAATATTTCATAAGAAGCGCCTCTACCTTGTCTCCTTCGTCGTCACTATTGTGAATGGACTCGTATGGGGAGTAGAAGTTGGCTATGCTTTCTGTGCGTCGCCCTGTGCCCGTTGAGGCGGCTAGAAAGGGCGCCAGAAGAGGTCCTCGGTCGTCAATGGTGGACGAAATGGCGGCCAAATAACTGCGAGCGTGCTGCTCCTGAGGAATAACCCGGCAATCCAGAAACCATGCCTCTCCCCAAGCTATCACGAAAGATACAACGATCAAGAGGACCTGAAACACGGGCTGAGGAGAGTCTGCCCACTAGAGAAAAGGGAGCATTCTTAACAAGTGTCCAGAAGAGGCTTTGAACATCTACACACTCACATTGTAGACGAAGACTTTCGATATCAGAAATGCACAAGAACCCGACGTTGAAGCCTGAAATAGAGATTTCGAAAGCATTAAAACTTTTGTCGTGCTCAATGATAAGCAAAACAGACCACATCTCAGCAAATTCTTATCGCCATCGCGAAACATTGAATATGTACTCACCGCAATGATGATCCAGTGGTTGATGTAAAGTATGGCATAAAAGAGGATGAGGACCACAAATCTGCAAATTGCGGCCATGACAACGTCGAATAGTGACGTGTAGATTGTGTAGTGAATAACTTGCGTCTGAAGTGCATTGTATATGTTATCACCCGTAATCTGTGGAGTAAACAAATGAGAGAAAATTGTAGTTTTCACTTTTGGCCTTATCATCTCGCAGCCTTGTGACTAACCATGACGCAGATGAGCCAAAGGAGAGCAATGAATACTAAATCGAAGGTGACGAAGAGGCAGAAGAAGCGCCGAATAACCGACATTCGTCCATCATGCTGATATCCAGACAGGAAGTCCTCAGTGATTAAATTAATGGAGTGCGATTGTGAACGTGTGGCTGCAAAAACGACTCTCATCATTGCTACTCAAGTGAGTTTGTGGGGAGATTCTTACAAAAATCTAGACTAGGATATTGTCTCTCGTACATAACATCCCTCAGTCCGCGCTGAGCCATGGTTTATCCTGTCCCGAAGCCTGGCCTTCACATTCTCTCAGCTAATCAATCTCGCAAAATGCCACTGAAAGGAAATTGCATTATCAGGACTCGACCAAACACAGTCAAAGAGCATTTCTAGAATTAAGGGGTCACTCATTACAATATTCTTTCTCGCTTCGCTCATTTTCATATATACACACCGTAGAAGTAAGAGCACATTATTGTTTTCTTGATTATTTTTTTTTGAAAAAATACTACAATTGCTGGATATTCTAACAAAAATCAGTCGAGATCTGAAAAGGCATTCAGCTTCATTGTTAAAAAAATATAAATAGTAACGTAGATATTGTCACCAAAAGTTACCTGTGCATTTTCTTGCACACAAAGAATTCTGAATTGTCAACGCACTGAATAAATCGTACGCGAATCTTTTGCGTCTTGAGTTAAGTTCCGAATAAATTAAATAATATTCTGGTTGAAGTTGCAAGTCAAATTGATCTTGGATTTGCAAACTTCTTAAAGGGTAACAAGTCACTTAGCATCGGAGTTGAGAGAAAACATTAATAATGTATTGACAGTGTCCAGGGCAAATTAAAGAATTTCCATAGTAAATAGAGAATGTAATAAATAGTGAAATTAGATTTTTTTTTTGTTTACTATATGATGTGTTTTCCAATTTTCCTGAATATTATAACTCAATAAATGCAACAAAATATTTAGCTTTGTTACATTTCAAGTCGAGTCTACAAAAAATTTGTCTAAAAATATGTCGAAACCTGGGAAAAAGTTTACAAAAACAGACCATCGGGAATTGCATTGAGTGACCCCTTGACTGGAGGAGAAGAAAAACATCGAATAATGAGATGAATGTTAGAAAAGTGACGGATAAATTCATGAAAGAGAGAAACAATGCCAGGTGTTCGAAGAAAGAGTTTATCGCTTCTCGCGCGATGTGATAAGAGCCCCAAAGAGTAAAGGAACTCTCTGACAAAGAGCAAAATACAGACATATTCGGATGGTCACACAATCTCTCGTTCATGAACTCTCATCGACTTATCGCTCTATCAGCAAATTGTGTGATCATCTTTCCAGGCAGAAAATAAATATTGCAGCTTTTGTAAATAAATGGAGAGATAATTTTGTGAGCGAGAAACACAAGAATTAGGATGCGAGAAAAAAGGAAGATGATAAAGGCTACGCACTAAGTCATCTAATAATTACCCCTTGACCGAAAAATTCCTCATCATCTTTTTGTACAATTTTGTGCCTCTTTGGTTGGTTTAAACGAAGAGGAGTCTCGCGAAAAAACTGAAGACTCCAAAGACAATCAGGAAACTTATTAGTAGAAGGTATTTCAAGATAAGGGGGATGAAGCTAAGGTTCATGATTTCACCAGGATTATTCACTGCGAATAAGAATGGAATTTGGAAGTATATTTTTAGAAAAAAACACACAATAAACATCTCTGAATTGTAGAAAAAATCGCAAATTCATACGTCAAGTGAAGTTGCCAATTTTTGAATGCAATTTCTGGAGAACTTACGAGAAATTTGCGGATATTCTAGGTTGATTCCTGTATTTTGATCACTAAACTGTTAGTTTTCCACGGATTTTTGTATTTTTTCACCGATTTTCACCTCAAAATGCCCCCTTGAAAACTTTATTTGTGATTTCACACAACATCCATTGTGACTTTGACGTATGACTAATTGTCAAGTGACTTTTCGATGTTTCCCCAGACGCGTGTCTATGGGTTAAGTGTGGAGGGGACAAAAGTGCCTAAAAGTAGGCAAAACTATTTCGTAATCTCAAAATCAACCGGCGAGAACTCTTCTTTTTTATCACTCCCATTTCCATCCTCCACATACTTCTTAGCTGCAACAAAGCTTCACGACGATGTCCTCTGGGGCATTTTCACAACAAGGCGAAACCATGGAGAATCATGCATAATCCGAAAAAAACATTGCGAAGAGATAAAGTAATATGTAAAATACATTGGGACTCCGCGAGCCACCAACTGACGATGCTCGATTTGAAAAATGATTATAATTTTAAATTTATAATTACTGGTTTGTGGTATAGAGACCTGTTATTAAGACAGGGCTACCGTTTCGAGAGATCTCTGGCTCTCATCTTTGGCCTCCGCGGGAATGAGCAACAACTCCCAGAAGCCACAGACGACACAGACAAACTGCATATGAATCCCGTAACATCGCCAGATTTGCGAGAAAATTGAAAACAGATGAGATTACATGTGAAATTACACTCATTCCTCCTTCTGGTTCTGTCTTTCAATTAGAATAGCGCCAAAGCCCTCGTGGTTGAGCAGGAAAATCAATTCTGAAAAATTTGAAAATTAAGTATAGAATAGTTTGAATCTTGAAGTATTAGCGACTAACACACGAAAGCGATAATTGCAACTTTATCACAAGTTAAAGCTGCATTCTCAGCTACATCGCGATCTTGCGGAATGTCTTCAACTCTGTACCTGGCCTTCTCAGGGGGAGGTATTTCATGAATGGCTGAGAGATTCGTAAGTAACGTGAGTTCTCCACCTCTCGAGCGCTCTTGAGTTGCGAGTGCCGGACTGTCGGATGTCTCGCGTGAATTGCCGGAGTGATCGAGACGCGTCAATAGTGACATCCGCGATCTGGGATAGATTCCGGCGTCGATCGATCGATCGTGAGGACGGACAGGCGATGTTGCGCGGAGGGGCCGGAGAAAAGGTGGATGTCAAGTCCGGCCACACGCCATGTTCGCAAAATGGCCGGTGGGCATGTAAGCAGCGATTTTTATCGCGATCCTCACCGCGTCTCCGCGATGTTGATGCCGGCGGCCAAAGGTTGTGCGGCAAAGCTGGAAATGCATCGCAACAGACAGAGGGAATTGAGAGCAGACAGTTCCACATTTGCCGCCCATCGGTGCGCAAAGGAAAGGCTTTTCCATAAATCAACGCCATTTTAGAATCAACAAATTGCACTCATCGATCACCGCGGCAAGACGCATCGTGTACAATTCTCAGAATTCACCATTTTCTGCATCTCTCCAGCCGGCTGAATTCCATCACGTATCAATCCGATCGCGCCCTCTTCGGATCAGACTGCCTTGGGGCGATCTTCTCGGCTCTGGATGCTGCGCACAGATCTTCAGTTCGACCCCTCGGGCTGCGGGCCCATCAATTAGACCAGGCAATTAAACCCCCAACACAGCGCATCTTCCCAACGGGCCTCAACTACTGAAAATTTGAATAACCAGACTTTTTGTCATAAAGTTAACGGTAAGCAGACAGAAATTGTTCTTGAACAGAGCGAAGAAGTTGTGTTGCGGAGGTCCTACATGATCATTAGGGACAATTTTCGATGATATTGGCTGACCTTTATTGCTTAGAATGGCGCAGAGTAGCAATTTCTCGAGCAGGGCCGCGAGATCTCGCCAGACACCCTAATGATGTCCAATGAAATTGCTATTGGAAAATGAGAGTGAGAATGATCGGCGTCTCGTTCCGCTTAAAATGAGCAATACAGTTTGATCTCGATTGACAAACTTCGTATTATGCAAGAAATTTTAACAATAAACAATTGTATGAGCAATTAATCTGACAGATCAATTTCAGCTTTTTTTTTATTTTCAAATATGTTTGACTCAAGTACCTCGTCTTTCTTTCTTTCTTTCTTTCTTTCTTTAAAACATTTTCATAACAAGTCCTCTAAATTGGAACATTACATATGAATTATTGCTACCATTTGACTACCTATAAATATTCTGTGCCATCGGAAGTATGCCTTGCCATTTGAGACACCTTACAAATGAATTTTACACGCGAAAACCGGGGTCTCGCTGTAAATATCGTGTCTCTTGAATCCTGAGAAGGTAGTTGGATAAAAAATTCTTTCACCACAGAAGGGCTTGGCCAAAATTTGCGTGAGTATAATTTTAATCAATTTGCGCAATTTTCCGCTGCAATTTTCATCTCTTCACGGTGATCCTCTGCAGTCCGGCGGAATGGATTTCAGTTACAAAGTTTCAGTTGGCAAAGAGTCACACTTTCGGCAGTGGGAAAAATGTGGGACATCTTCGTGGAGTCTTCCTTGGCCATCACAGTGTCTGTGGGTTGTGCGAGTGTTCCACCTTGTATGCAAATTGGCGTCACATCATGTCAATTTTCTGCTGAAGGGGATGATGGGCTGTGATAAGACATAAATTCAGTGCAACGGCTCTCATGTGAGCGCATGGCTTTATCATGGAGCAGTGGAAAATCTAATCACACAAATTGACTTCTTCGGTGACGTCTCTGGAGCTGAAAGCAGAGGCTCGACTTACGTGAGTCTCAATTGAGCAATTTTGCTGCGCGTAATTGTTTAAATAATGCAATTTAAATGATGAATGACTTTTTAATGGGACACCAGCCACTTTAATCTGATTAAGACAAATTTATATGGGAAATTCATACCAATTACACCGTGAAGAAGTGCAAACTATCCAATATTTCCTCAGCAAGTGTCTTCTTACTCTGTCTAAGTGCAGTTTTTTTTCTCTCACCTCCAATTCACGTAACTCTTCACACTTCTTAATACAAATTATTTGCACACGATCTTAATTCGCGACCCAAGAAATCTCACTCATTGGACTTGTCTATGAAGATATTATGATGATCAGACAAGTAGAAAATTTCATAAATATTTCTCGCCTTTTTCACAAGCCATATTATCCATCATCCACTTTGTTTTGCTACCGTTTTTCCCATATAATATTCCTGTCATGATAATTGGACTTTAATTGAAAATTCAAATAGATTTAACTCTGCGCGTACAATATCTTACCATCACCATAACTATTTACCATTCATGTCGCCTCGTCAAGAAGTTTACTCATTTCCATGCACTTGTAATTGCGTCAATTTACACGATTCGGTGCTTCTCAACACTAATTTCATTAAGACCCATCAAAATGGATGGAAATATTTGTTCAATCGGATTAATTTGGTGAGTGTCAACATCAATTACTCGAAAGCTCTCTTGTTTTCGTTCAATTTCACTAATTAATTGACTTTCGATAAACTTTTTGGGAAGCATAATTCTACATATTGTATTGCATTAAATGAGGCTACTCCGATTCTTAATTTTTAATATTCTTGTTATAATTTGTTTGGTGAGATAATGAGGTTAATAATGCCTAGAATGCCTTGTAGCATTTCTATCAGCAAGAGTCTCAAAAATGTCGACATTCGGAAACTTCTTGACTTTCCTCAATTTCTCTAAGAATTTCTCACTCTTCACAATCGAATCAAAGTTCTGTTTGTTATAAAATGCGTTAAAGAATATCTTTTCAACTTAAAGCGGCACAATATTATATATGAAACTATATTCTCGTTTTTGATCGAGGATTCTTTAAAATTTGATGTGAAAATAGATCAAACTATTAAATTCGATTGTCATAGAAACTTTAAGCATTTTCATAATAATACTGTAAACTTCGGTAAGCTGTACATTGTTTTTCTGACCATAATATTTATGGTTGTAATATAATATTCTTGGTTGTCACTTTAAAAGTTATTCAGTCGATATCTTACAAAGTAAAGACACTTCTCAAGTAAATTATTTGTGTATCAATTTGGAAAATAATCTCTGAGCTAGAGTTTGCTGAAACAATGATTGCAAAAGTTCTCGAGGGAACACATTCAATTTCATGCCTCCTCTTGGGCTTCTTCAGCCCATCTAGAGAAGTGGAGAGGGGGTGAGACAAAGTTCAGGCAAGAGGCCAAGTCATAAGGACAGCAATCAAGCATAGCTCCGTGTAAATAAAATTGAAGGCACAGCGCGCAGAGGTGAAAAAAGGTAACAGAATTACATTTTATATAGCAAAGAGAGTCCGCAGAGGAAAAGAAATAACAAAACCACATCGCGTGTTAAAGTTTGTTTGAGAATTTTCAGAAAAATACGTTGCGTTTTTGTGTTTTTCCTTTTACTCCACGCTTTTTTTTGCTCCATTCTTTCGAATTGTAAGTCATGTCGATGTGGTTTCATTATTTCTGTGGAATTTCTGCCCTTTTTCCTGGCCGAAGGCTTGGCAAGGTGTGGGACTCTGGTGTTTTTGGGATGCTAGTGATATATAGTCAGTTGTATTGAGTGGGAATTGGGAATGCTTAATGGGCGGGAAGGCGTCGGCGATGCTCCTCAAATAACCATTGCAGTGCCACGGAAGCCCCGCGGATTTCCCTCTTCTGATCGCCTCTGCGGAGTGTCTCAATGGCCAACTATCACGCCATCCTGGCGGCCCAATATTGCATATGAGACACACTGGGTTTTCCAAACGCATTTCCACCCACATTATGCGCCATTTCGTGCCCTCAGGACTCACTTCCTTCCTCTCCTCAGGCGCAGAAGACGAGGGAGGAGACCCGCCGAGATGCGAGCCAGACAAATGGACATTTAGGAATCGTCGAAATATATAATTAGATAGCGCCATCACATGTTGGATTTCCACTCTCCGGCGGCCCGGCAATCATCATCAGAGTCAGAACATCGCTGTGTCTCTGGAAAGCAGAAGATGGAAAAATCAAAGGGACGCGGATGATGGCATCTTTTGATAGAGGCCCGAGGCGATCCATGAGCGCCGGAGACTTTTTGTGGCGGTTTCCAAAGAAATAGGAGATTCAGTGACGCGAGTGACCCGCACCCCAAAATCACTCCACCCATCAGTAC